AATGTCACATAGGAAAAGAGATATCTTTGATTTTTGCTCTTTCTAACTGATACCTGAACTCCTTTGTGTGTGTGTGGGGGGGAGTATTGTAGACCCAAAGAAAAACAAAACAAAGCTAGCGATCTGGCACCTTGTGAGCCCTGCCAATGCTTGCAGGGTCAGCAACTGGTTGATCCTGGCAGCCCCACTGCTTTTCCCTCTGCGAACACCTGGTTTGGGTTGCCGTTGGCTGGGTTCAGTGACATCTTTCCTTTCTTTCTCACTCACCCCAGTAAGAAATATGGATTTCCCTCCTCCTTGTCACTGGGGTTTTTTTTTTCTTGAGTCTGGGTTCTCCTGAGGAGTTGTAAGTCAGCAATGGTTTTCCCAGGTCTACAGGGGAACTTGTACAGGACACAGCAGGTCCTGGTGGAAGGCCAGACAGCTTGCTGACAGGAGCACCTTCACCATTGTCTCCATCCTTACAGCAGGTCCTGGTGGAAGGCCAGACAGCACCTTCACCATTGGCTCCATCCTCACATGCCTACATATTTTGCACATACAAAAATCTGCGTATTTCAGGATGTATATGAGTGTATCTATAGATGAGGGCTGCTTCTCTCTGGAACTGCACTCACCACATTGTTGCCAGACGTTACCGTTCTTCTCTAGCCTCAACTTCTGAGAAAAATGGTTCCGCAGGATGAAAGCATCAATTGGCTGGTGGTTTTGAAAGCATCTCTCTCCCTCAGAGCAGCACCACAACTTAACAAAACAGCTTAACTTTGTCACATGAGCTTCTTACTGTCACATAAACACACAGGTGGATCTTAAATATTTTTAAACAGAGGGGACAGTACTGTGGAAGTATAGGTAGATAAGTAAAGCCAACAACTTCAAAAATATATATTGGAAGAAGCTAGGCATATAATTGCATATAAGAAAAACAGTGTCTGTGCACTCTGCATTGTTTCATTCAATGTGTTCCATATCACTTCAATGGTGAGGTTATATAGCTCAGATTTCTAATTATATCCTGTGCAGTAGTTGACAAAGTGATAGTAGATAGTGTTGAAGGAGAGGGGAGAAAGCATTAAAGAGAGATCTAGTGGGCCATCAAATGTTCTGTAACCATTAGAACATGATACAGTGCAAGAGGTCTATGAAGCTTCTGTAGCAAGGGCAAAGGATATGGGAATGTCTTTACAACTTAAGTGTCACAGGTCAAATAGGGATATACTGTCCCATTCACATAATTCAGCAGTAGATTCCAGGTTTTGTTCTTGTTATTTCCTGTAAGGTTTGGGAGAGACTTCAGCCTGAACCTCCAGAAAGCTGCTGACAATAAGGGTCCTATGTAGATGCTTACAGGGATTGTTGTTGTTTAGTCGATAAATTGTGTCCAACTCTTCATGACCCCATGGACCAGAGCACGCCATGTCCTCTTATCTTCCACTGCCTCTCGGAGTTGGGTCAAATTCATGTTGGTAGCTTCAATGACACTGTCCAACCATCTTGTCCTCTGTCATCCCCTTCTCCTCTTGCCCTCACACTTTCCCAACATCAGGATCTTTTCCAGGGAGTCTTCTCATGAGATGGCCAAAGTATTGGAGCCTCAGCTTCAGGATCTGTCCTTCCAGTGAGCACTCAGGGTTGATTAGAGGGATACCTAGGGCTAAATCCACCTTTTAATCTCAGCTAGAATAGAGTCACTGAATACTTGGGATTTGTTATGCAACCACATATGTAAGTCTATCGATATACTGGGTTTTCTCAAGTAACAACTGGATCAAGTAGTCTGCATTTTATAGGACTAATCCATCAATTGTAAATAGAATAGAATGAATAGAAATTCCCTTTTGAAATATTTTGAGGTTGCTAGATAGTGCCTATGACCAGATATCTTCACAGACATCTTCATGTAACCCATATTATACTGTGCATTTTAATTGTAAGCTATTTTCATAGCCAATTTTGTCTGACAATAGGGCATAATGATGATTAATCCACAAGACAATTGTTTTTTGTGACCGCTGTGGCACTTCACAAGACAATCTTTTCTATGGATGATTTTCGCAAGACGATGATTTTTCCCCATTGGAATGCATTAAATAGATTTCAATGCATTCCAATGGGGAACTGCGTTTCGCAAGACAATGTTTTCACAAGATGACGTTTTTCGCAGAACGAATTAACATCGTCTTGCGAAGCACCACTTTATTAACATGCATCCACACACAGATTAAAGTTGTACACCTCTGGTTATCAAATTAAATTGTGACTACAATGGCTGGAGATGAGTCAGCATATCTAGAGTGCACTAAGTTAGGGAAATCTTCATTTAATTCATTAATCTATTGGTTAATTAACCAACAAAGCCTATTAAATAGTCTTTCATGTGTTCCAAAGCTGAGCTTGGGTGCTTAGAACAGATATCAGGATTAAAACTTCTGGTCCCAATGAAGCCCTCTCTTTGGAGCTTCGTTTATAGTTAATTTCTCCAAAAACCCATTGTTTCCAGTATATGAGCTTACTTCCACTGTAGATAGGAAGCTGAGATCTGGGAACAAGACTGAAGGAAACACATGGCTGGGCTTTCTTAAGATGTAAATGAGTAGAGGCATCCATGAGAAGTGACTGGGGGGTTTACTAAAACCATTAGGAAGTTTTTGATCATGCTTTTCGCTGTTCCAGATTACTTTAGCATGGTGGCAACAGCTGCTAAAATTGTGTAGAGGGAGGTTCATGCATTTTTCTCTCATGTTCACACACACACACCTTCCATACCCTACACAATGGAACTGCTTTGGGAGCTATTCTTACAGTAGCTATTTATGTGTGAAGTGAACCTCAGAGGTAAATTTATAAAAGCAAAAGTCACTGCTAAACAAGGCTGTTCTGGGAATAAAAGAGATCCTTACTTGTCTCTATTAGTTAGACCAGAGAGTTCCTCCGCAGTTGAAACAACAGAAAAGAGAAGGAGAGTCCCCCCCCCGCCCCGGTTTTCCAGTAATCTGGAGATAGAGTGAAAATCTGGGCCAAAAATATGCTTTGTGGATCTTGGCTAAACAACCTGAATATGAGCATAATAAAGATGATATAGCAGTCTGGCCAAAGTTGTGTGTTGGCTGGGCCTGTTATTAGGCAAAATGGAGCAGCTGTTTCAAATTTCTGATACAGTACTGTACTTTAGTAGGGAGCAGGAAGATGTTGGACCTGTGTAGACTGGCAGCCTGCGCTACATCTCCTGCCTTAGCCTGCCACCTCCAGGAACAGCAGAGGACACTGCTTGTAACCAGGGTTGGGATAAGGTTCAACTGTCCAGTTGGTGTCCGTGTGCCAAAGGAGGGATGGGAAGAGACAGGCCTTGTTTCTTTGTTTGTTTTCTGCCTCCCCCCTCCATAAAGGACTCAGATTGGCTCACAGTCAGTTAAAGCTCTATAGGAATCACCATTCATAAGAAAGGACACTAAAAAAAGAATTAAACATGTAACAATATTAAAAGAATTTTAAAAACCTCTACATTCTATAGAAGCAGGCTTCCTTTAAAAAAAGAAACCTACTTACTGCTTAAATATCCTTTGCCCCAGCAGCTAAATATCTTTTGTCACTGTAGGATCCTCTTCTAATGTTCTTTAAGAGACATAAATCCATGTAAAAGAACATTGCAAAACTTAAGGAGTAAGAGCTTCTCACAGCATGAATGTACTTGGGCTGATCAGGCATTACTCAGGGATGGGAAAGATATTTAATAAACTAAGAGCCAGTGTGTTGTCACAATTAGATTATAAAGTGGTACATTCCGGGGCCATATTCCCAGAAATAGTAAAAATCCCCAGATTACTAAGATACGTTGGACTGGTCAAGCCTAACTCTTCGTCTTAAATTACCTCACATGCCTGTTGTGATGATAAAATTGGGATGGAGGTTCACCAAAATGGGATTTTTAGTTATATATTCTCTTTCTCTCCCACATCCACCAGATCTTTATTAACTGATTTTCTATCCCATATGAATGAATTTGGCAACAACTTTTCTAACCACATTTTCTTCAAAATTGAGGAAGGTTGCTAAGATGCAGTTTACTTCACCTTCACCAGCTGGCAGCCCTTGACACATGGCACAAAAAGGGCAAACTAGTCAAAATAAAAGGGATTAGATTTCTGCTAACCCATGTCTAATGAAATGAGCAGTAAGATTCTGTTCTAACAGGAGAAACACCTAATGCTACCAGGCCAGCCTTGCATTTCTATAGCACCTTTCATGAGACGTTCTACAGGGCTGTGCTATGTTTTTATTACTCCCCGAAACAACATCTTATAAAGCAGCTCCTGTTCAATAGAGGAGTAACTGAGGTCAGACCCTAAAAATGTGAGCAACATTTGGAATGATTAAAAGGAGATTCTGAATTGCATAACTCTCAAAACTATATATCACATCTTCATCCAAGATGAATTCAGAAATAATCTGTTGAGTGGATCTAGGTTATACATGACACAGAGGGTTGCCCCTTTCACCATTAAGGCCGCCTCCCTTAGGAAGAAAAGGAATATGTGTTAGAGACACAATTGGATGTCTATTTGAGAATGAGAATTTTCTGTATATGATTTAGTGACTTTGAAATCCTTCCTTTCACTCATGGGCTGAGAGTCTTTAGGTTTTTATATATTGTGTACGGCGGATTTGAAACGGTCTGAAGACCTTTTCAATAAAAGTTATATTCTATTCTAACTTGATCAAATAGCTGATTAGCTATATGTAGATCTCACTCTTACTCCAGGCTCAAAAAGTAGTGGTAGCACTCATACCTGGTAGTTTCCAATGTAATGTTTTAAAAAGAGGCTGAACAGAAGCATGATATTGAAGCAGTCATGGTTCAGAACTTTATTATTTCTCCACAATGCTGTAATGGTGTGAAATTGTTTCTAACGGTTTTGCTTTATCAGCTATATGTTGTATGTTTCCCCTTTTTAATAAACCCATCTTCTGTTCCTCCTCCTACCAACTCTTTTGACTTTTAGGCTATTGAATGAAAGCGATAAGCGGCCCTTCATTGAAGAAGCAGAGCGGCTGCGGATGCAGCACAAGAAGGACCATCCTGATTACAAGTATCAGCCACGTCGGCGGAAAAATGGCAAGGCCACCCAGGGAGAAAATGATGGCCAAGCCGATGGGGAATCTGGTGGAGCTACTGCCATTCAGGCTCACTATAAGAATGCCCACTTGGACCATCGACACCCAGGGGAAGGATCCCCCCTATCTGATGGGCACCCTGAACACTCCTCAGGTTAGTTTGATTAGGCCAGTTAACTCAGCGGGCAGATTCTCAGTTCTGCTGGTTGGCTGACTTATAAATTAGCTACTGTCTACATGTGGTAGGTGGGATCATGACTGGCCAAGGATTTTGTTTTATTTCTGCCTGGCAGGACTCAATATTTAGATATGGCATAGGTGAGCTTTTTAAGATAAGGAATTCATTGATCGTCAGTGCCAGAGCCCATGGAATATATTAGAGCTGCTATCTTCCCTTGTCCCCCCGCCCCCGCCCCAGACTGGTTGTACATGTTCTTCTTGCTTCTGTAGTGGAGGCTGTACAAAAAAAAAAGAATATCATGTATCAGTTCCTGTGAAGAAAAGTGAACCAAGGGACTGGCCTGGGTACATTGTATCATTTAGGGCGGGAGGGGGCAAAGTGTGGCTCTCTAGCTGTTATTGTACTGCAACACCCATCATCCCTAGACAACTGAATCAGCAGCAATGAACGCTGTGAGTTGCAGTCCAGGGACATCCTCAGAGCTGCTCTTTTGCCTACCAGTGACCTGAGAGGCCAACTCTGTGTGTTATCCTTGACATGATCCTGCCAATATATTATGTTTTTGTGAAGCTCTGGGTAATTTAAAGTGAGAGTGGCCCTTCATACCTTTTCTCTCTTTCCTCCCATGTGGTTTTCGCCTCACAGGGCAGAGCCATGGACCCCCCACACCACCAACTACTCCAAAGACAGAACTGCAGTCGGGTAAGGGTGACTCCAAGCGGGAGGGACGCTCACTTGGGGAAGGAGGAAAGCCTCACATCGACTTTGGCAACGTGGATATTGGAGAGATCAGCCATGAAGTGATGTCCAACATGGAGCCCTTCGATGTCAATGAATTTGATCAGTACCTGCCACCAAATGGACACACTGCTCACCCAGGCCATGTCGGGGGCTATGCCGCAGCGGCTGGCTATGGCCTTGGGAGTGCCCTGGCTGCAGCCAGTGGACACTCAGCCTGGATCTCCAAACAACATGGGGTTTCCTTGTCTGCTGCCACATCCTCAGTGGTAGACTCCAAGGCACAAGTGAAAACAGAGGGCTCTGCTCCAGGGAGCCATTACACTGACCAACCTTCCACTTCCCAGATAGCATATACATCCCTCAGTCTGCCCCACTATGGCTCAGCCTTCCCTTCTATATCCAGGCCCCAGTTTGACTACCCTGATCACCAGCCCTCAGGACCCTACTACAGCCACTCTAGTCAGGCTTCTGGCCTCTACTCGGCCTTTTCCTATATGGGGCCCTCTCAACGTCCCTTATACACTGCCATCTCTGACCCAGCACCCTCAGTGCCACAGTCTCATAGTCCCACACACTGGGAGCAGCCTGTGTATACAACCCTTTCAAGACCCTAGGGAAAGGGGAGCAGTGACCGAAGCAGCAGCGGAAAGGCTCCGGAGAATCAGCCCCAGAAGACGAGCCTCCAAGTTCAGAGGTCATTTGGTGTCATCCAGTCGCCAGAATCCACAGAATATCCGGGCGTGTCTGTCATGACCGCAGTTATTGATGGCTTACCTGGCTGGAGGGAGGTTCCCACCCACCCGTCCCCACTTTCCCAGTCCCCAATTGGCTTCAAAGATCCCATAGGCCTTCTAGATGAGGATGATTCTAGGCATGGAGCCACTAGTCTTCACGGGTTTCTGTCGGGCAGATTGAGGATTTAAAAATAACAACAGCAATAATAACATGAAAAAGAAACAATCCGCTTCCTTCTCTTCCCCTCCCTCAAGCTGTCCAGACCCATCAGCGTGAAGGTTTAGAAAGAAATCAATGTGGCCATCACTTTGCCATCTGTGAGTGAAGTGTGGCTAGTTGGACACCCTGAAGGCTATGTTACAGAAGGAGAAGTAGGGTGGTGCAGCTGATGTGGACAGTTCTCTAGGTCATTCCTGCTTCAGAGTCTCACACGCATGAAATTCTGTTCTGTACTGGAAGACCAACCTATGCTTGCTTTTCCTGTTGATATTTGACATAACCGTGCCCCACTTTCCCTTATCCATCTCAGCACTTCTCTGCTGCCTGGCTGTCTTAAGACTTACCTACACAGTACATTGGACTCAGGAACTGCATTATATGCTCTGGCTGCCTTTGCATCATAGCATGTAAACATGTGTCTACACATTGGTCCCTTGGACCATAAAAGGCAAAGGAGACTGTATCCTACTTGGTTGTTATGAACAATTTTGTATTCCTAGTTTGTTTCCAATGCTCTATGGTTCCCTTCTAAACTCTTCCACAGCTACCTTTCTAATGCTCCAGAAGTTCCCCTGCCAATGCCAATGCTTTTTTCTGCCATGCTTGTGTGTGTGTCTGTCTGTCTGTCTGTCTGTGTAGAGCGGGTGAGGGAAGGCAGAAAATGTGTAACAACTAGAACAGTCTGCGTGGTTTTCCTGCTCTAGCTTCTATTCTGAAAGTTGCATCATCCTTCACCATTAGGTTCGCTGGCTAGGCTGGATGGGAACAGCAGTTGAACACCGAACTAGTGGGCTGCATGTTCCCTGCCTCTTTCCCTTTCCTTTCCAAAACAATATGTGCCACAAAATCCTCTTTATGTCTGTCATGATAGCTTAGCCGATATCTGCTCCCACTCAGATGAGAGACAGCCCAGGACATTTTGCTGCTTGAGGGAGAGATTCAGATGTTACTCCTAGCAAATTTAAATACACTATATAATTAACATTGCAATTGGCTACTTGCTGCACTTACAAGTTCTCCAACCTTTCCTATATGAGAGATGTTGCCTCTCACTACCAAATAGCAAAGCCAGAGATGCTCCCATTCAGAATTATGAAGCCACGTTCTGCCAGTGTCACAAAATAAGGAGAACGAACATTGCAGGTGCATCTTATGTTGAATAACATTAAAAACAAAGCTGGAGCATGGAACATTAAAGAAACTCATTTCAGTTTAAGTTTTCATAAGGAGGCAACCAATCAAGATGATCGAAAGGTTGCTGTTCTCTTTTCTATAGCCCTGTGGAATGCTTTGCTTGGCCTTCGTAGAGCTTCCAAACAGACATTGCCTCCAGTGCTACCTGGCATGTCATTTTGAAGACTGCCATCACGTAGCTGACGATGGTATGAAAGCACCAGAGAGAGAGAGAACTGGTGTCAGGCAAATAAATGAGGATGGGCCCACTATTCATCATGGTACATGCTGTTCTTTCCAACCCCTCTGGATTGAGATGGCTGAGGTTAACCTGCCCAAAGTTATGAACTTTATATATGCTTGCCTTCATTTTCAGCTATGGATGATTGTCTTTTCTCCATGGTGTTTGAAAAGGACATGTAGTATGCCTGTGCTCTTCGTATGCATGCAATCTATTAACTGCTCTGCACCCTTATTTATGCAAGTAGCACATCCTTCCCCTGCCCCCAGCGCTACAGTCCTGTGTTGTCTTAGCGCCATTAACTTTGCATCAAATGTATGGAATAATAAACTTTAAAAGGTTTCATCGTTGTGTGACAGTTTCTGTTTCCTCTTTTCCTCTCACTCTACCCATCCATCCTGGGTAAGAGGTACAAATAATTATTGCTGAACATACAAACCTTTTTGTTCACATATTTCTATTTGCACTTTGTTAAAAGACACTGTGACTACTAAGAAATGCCTACAGTCTACCTAGGTGAAACACTGTGAGGCATCACCTTTCAAAGGATTGTACCTTCCGTATCACCTGTAGACAATTGGGTGCCGCTGGGATGTCCACAATCAGGGCATCATGGTGATGACAGCTATGTCCTATAGTTTATGCTAATGTTATCTGTTTATATATATCTTCAGAAAAAGATTACATATAGTTCTCAGGCAAACATGTCTCCACTGATGTTATCCTTCCCTCTTCAATTCACTAAGGCTGAAACATTATGCAAAGCAGCGTGTTCCTGCCCACCTAGACACCTCAGTAAGATTGGTGTTTGCAGCCACATCCTGTTGTTTTCCCTAGCACTCACATTTCCATTCCAAACCTTGATGCCTTTTCTTTGAACCTCCAGACTATCCTTGAAGGCAGCTGGTGTCCCCTCTGATCTCATTGTTAACCCTATTCAACAGCAGGATGAACCAGAAACCCTGCTTTCATAAGTCTTTCCCCCAGCTTCTCTATTCCATCAGATAGATGGCTCCGCAGCAAGTCTTGCAAGTTGATGAATAGATGACATGTTCTTTCTTCACTTTGAAATATCTTTTCACAAGGCCAAGGTAGCAAGATATGAATGGGGAATAAATAGGCAGAGGTCACCTAAGAGTTAGGAAACGACATGTTTTGTATAGCAGGGTGCACTATTTGCTCATTCTGTGTGGGTACTTTCAAAGAATGCAGTGGGCGAGCGGGTTATGCATCTGGCCTGACATTGTCCCCACTGCCTTTAAAGGGAATCTTTGGCTCTGGTCCAAGAGACCGGGGTTCCTTTCAGTTCGAATGCTTAAGATGCCCAGCCAAATGGAGTGATTCAGACCACCCTTTTGTCATAACACCAGGCACCATTTATCCAAACTGAGGGCAAGCAACCTGATACAGTTACGCCCTCTGTCCACAGAAGCAGCTGACCGTAGGTGGTAGGAAGACAATAAGACTGTAGGGGAGTAAAACAGGAATGAACAAAGTGCAGCCTGGGGGTTGCATACATCCCCACAGGATTGCTTTGAGGTCCTTCAGGAAGTCCCCCTGTGTTGCTGTTTAAAAAAAAAAAAAAAAAACAAGACAAGAAAAAGGCTGTTCACCCTACTAGTCCCCCCCCCGGGGGGGGGAGCTTCTAAGATCAGCATTGTTTGCATGGGGTGTTGCGGTCCCTGGACTCCAAAGCACCCAACCCTCCCCTATACAAAAAAAGCAGCAACAACAAACTCACATAAATAGATACAGTATATAGTAATTCCTGCCTGTTTTTAGTTTTGAGTTGTTGGTCATTTCTGGGCTTACAGCAGTTTCTAGGGGTGACGGTTTGGCCACGAGGCTCTTCAGACAAAAAGTGCAAATACATATACATATTATATGAAGAATGGTTCCTGGCTCATTCTCTGGAAAGCCTTAGAGTAGTAGAATCCACATCTTCAGCCAGCAAACGAGGTACTAGAAAACACCCTGCTTAATTTGTGTTGGGGGGGGGCAGCCACTGCTTAATCTTTTGCTTCCTTTACTGTGAATGTTAGAAGCAAATAATAGTCAATACTAGAACTAGCACTTTCACAATATGCACAGTTAAAACTGTGCAATTCACTATAGCACTATAACAAGATAAATTCATGAAGGATAAGCCTGTAAATGGACTTGCTGTGATGGATACAGCTGGCCAGATAGCTTAGTGGTTAGTTGTCTGGTTGCAGAGCCAGAGGTTGGGAGCTTGATTCCCCACTGTGTCTCCTGCCAGTAGGGCCAGCCTGTGTGGCCCTGGGCAAGCTGTACAGTCCCAGGGCACCCCCCAAAAGAAGGGAATGGGAAACCACTTCTGGTAGAGAAAACCTGGAAAAGGGTTGCCATGAGTCAGGACTGACTTGATGGCACTTCTTCTTCATCACCATCATCATCATCATCATCATCATCATCATCATCATCATCATCATCATCATCATCATCATCATCATCATCATCATCATCCATATATGCCCTACAGTAGAGGAGTGGCATGCCTTTGTATACTATTTACAGGGGGGGGCATGAGCTAGAAGATATTGTTACTCTTGTGTCCTACATGAGGCTTTCCCATAAGCTACTGGCAGATCATGGTGTGAACAAAATGCTGGACTAGGTGAGCTTTTGTTCTGATCTAGCAGGGCTCTTAGGGACGTGGTGACGCTGCAGGCTAAACCGCAGAAGCCTGTGCTGCAGGGTCAAAAGACCAAGCAGTCGTAAGATCGAATCCACGCGACGGAGTGAGCTCCCGTCGCTTGTCTCAGCTCCCGCCAACCTAGCGGTTCGAAAGCATGCAAATGCAATTAGATAAATAGGGACCACTTCGGTGGGAAGGTAACAGCCTTCCGTGTCTAAGTCGCACTGGCCATGTGACCACGGAAGATTGTCTTCGGACAAACGCTGGCTCTATGGCTTGGAAACGGGGATGAGCACCGCCCCCTAGAGTCGAACACGACTGGACAAAAATTGTCAAGGGGAACCTTTACCTTTACCTAGCAGGGCTCTTATGTTCCTCACAGCGCAATCTTATATAATGGGGCTTGTTTGTAGTTTAGCAATTTAACTCTTGCAGTCTAAATAATTTATTGTGGCACATTCTTTGGAGCTGACATATATGTCTCATTTATTTATATTTGTCAACCACTCTTCACCTTAACTAACAAAAGGGCAGTATACACAAGATTAGAAAAGACAAAAACATACCCAAAATACAGTACAATACCAGGAAACAGTAGGATAGCATCATTGTGAAACGACTCAGAGGTATAAAAACAGTAGAACACAGAATACCTAAGTCAGCTTTGGAATGCTAAAATCCTAGACAAGTAGGTAGGATTTAACCAGATGTTGGCATTATAGTCACATCAGGGCCAGACAAACTTTTATGGGAAAGCACTCCAAATACAGGATACAACCACTAAGAAGGTTGTCTCCCTTGTGGCTGTACAACACACTTCCTCTACCATAAAGGATCCCACAAAAGAGCTGGACAGGTTAGGAGTCCACTTCATTTTTCAGATTGACAAGACTCTCTTTTTGCTACAACAGGCTAATGCAACTATTCCTCCAGAAGACATTCCCTGAATACATAGATAAAATCAAAAGTATAGACTAGAAGGCACGAATATAGGGTTAAATGAAACTGAAGACATGTTTTCGAATAATCCAGGTTAGAGAAAACAAACTATCAGTGGAAATATCCATTGTTAACATCTTGGGAGTTATAGCTATGAAGAGAATAATACATCTTGCTTTTGCAGAAGATTTGGATAAGTGCAGCTGATATCTGGATTAGCAGAATGCACAACACATGGCCAAAACAGGAGGTTGCCGTGGCTGAAAGATGCCCAGAATCATGGCTAAGGCACAAAAACAAAACTGGGCAAAGGGATCCTTCCAGCCCAGTTCCAAGTGCTCCCCACGAGGAAGGCTGGTTAAGGGAGAGCGGCATGCTTTCTTAGTCACTGTCTGGCAGAGGTCAGTGCCAACAACTTTGTTTCTGTCTTCATAGCAAAAGCAGGATCCGGCGCCCACCAGCTTCTATGTTGCACACAAAAAGGATGCATATTCCCTTTGCAGTCTGATGGGAGCTACCCTGAAATCTTTTGCTATCCCTTTAATTGTATCTGATATACATGCAAGTCTTGATCACTGGGAGGGGAGGGGGGGGAATGTTAAAACAAAGAAGCTATTTTTTTAGTGGACCAAGAAAACGACTCCTGCGCTCCATTGCGGATGCCAAAATGGTCACACAAAGGCACATTTCATTACTGAAATTTCATCACGCCAACGTGATTAAACGCCAGGGGGAGCGGGGAGGGCAAGGAGGGTTGTAAACGATTACTCTGCAGATTAACCTTTTATTGCCATGGGTGCTATGAACATACAACACATGTCTTGTAGTTTTAGAGCCCACGCTTGCTGACAGTTGGTGATCATATCCCTTTAAAAGCAATTTCACAAAATTGCCCCTAAAACCCTTTCTTTTTTAAAAAATATAATAGTACACACATCACAGGTCCTATCTCTGCATTCCATTTATACATAGGAAAATGGTACTGATGCAGGAATGGGAACCCTGTGGGCCTAAAACTGCATGTGATCCTCTGCTTAATTTCAAAAACATGCCAAAAATGATCAGTTTAGAAACCTCAAGAGTGATTTGTGCTTCATTGGGTGCCTGGTGGGTCGAAGGAAAGAGAATTTGCAGGCGAGGGATTATGAGGAAGAAAGAGAAGAGGCAGAAAGAAAGACGGGAAGGGGTGGCCCATTTATTAATAGCTTCAGCAATTCCCACCACTAGGATGCAGATACTTACAACTGGTTAGTTGCCATCAAGTCATTTCTAACCCTGTAACTTTTATATGGTAATCCTATGAATTAAAGGCCAAGCCGAAATGTGTTGAGCTTTTATTTTGGAATAAAATGCATACTAGAGTTTTTAGAACTGGAACTAGTCTCCCCTCGCCTACAAATACTGGTTGTTCCAACTGATTCTTGGATGAGATTATTTTCTGGATGTCCATCCCAATTAGAGTTCTGAGTGCTATCCTGATAGCTAAATTCATAGTCCTGAAAGAAATCTGGACCTAGAGTTCAGCAAGAAGAAGGTGAACCGGTTAAGATTTCTTGGCCTCAAATTAGGAGTAACAAATTAGAGATAAAATAGCTCCAGACATGTTTGGGGAAAAAATACAGTAACAGTCCCATGGGGTTTCACCTTGCTTCTTGTGTTCCAATACTTATATACACATGAAATTCTCAAAACATTTGGACTATGCTGTTAACAGGATATTAGGACAAGCCAGCTTCAGTATAAAATGCACCAATTTTAGGAGAAGCATTACTTGGGTTCTCTACACAGATTCCTGGATGTTGTTGTGTGTTGTATAAAGACTATTTAAGCTAAATTCCAACCAGACATTGGTTTTGGGTGGAGTATTACCTGTCCTTAAGTTGTTCTTCTCTGAAAGATCAGATGCCCAGTCTGATGGTACTCCTTGATGCCCTTATCTAGGTGTTTTCTACCAACTTCAGCAAGCAAATCCTCTGCAATTCGTCATCTCTGACCAGGGCTTTGCTGCTGCTACTCTCTTTCACAGGAATAAGCCTATAGCAAGTTCAAGGTGCCGGCATTGACATTTTATGACATTATCAGCTTGCATCTAGCATACTTTGGGTAATGTGCCCACTTCATTGCAAACTGAAAATTCTCTGGATGCTGGTTGTTTTCATGTGCTTTTTTCTTCTCCAATCATGACACCCTCTTTGGGATTTTTTGCCTAGGAATCTGTATTTGTGCCTTAATTAGTACTGCTTTAGGCCAGCTCTTAAGGTATTGTGATTTTCAATGCTTTCGTAGACTATCAGTGACTGCTACTTAAAATTTGCTGTGCATCATTTAAGTGTTAAAATGCGTTACCTCTGTTTTAGTACCCCATCCCACATAACTCATCAATAAACATATTGCATTTTTAAAGGGCATGCATGTTCAGTCAATTAAAAAGTGAAATTCAGTGTTTCAAACAATCCAAAATCTCATTCACAAAAAAATAACTAAGACCAGTAAATCTGATAGCCTTTATAGTACTGTGAGATTTTTGTTTCTTCTGTGATAGAGTAACATAGCTGTTTCTCTGAAAACATCCAAATAGTTTTCTTTTTGTTTAATCAAGAGAAAACACTCTTTGCTTTTGCCTGTTATCCCTTGCATGCCCCCAACTATATACGAGATTCACTCTGAGGAAGTTTAACAACTTATTTTCTTGTTATTTCGGAATGCATGTGGCACTTTGCTGTGAGAAGACTAGATGTATCTCCCATGCTACAACTGGGGTGATAATGAGATGGTGGGAAAGAGGTGCACTGATACCTACCATAAAACATAGATTATGTTTATACATGTTAGGCAGACCCTCACCGGGCACAGACTCATCAAGGCAACTATGCTTCCTGCTGCAGAACTGCCACTGTAAGAGGATCCTGTTGATTGATAAGAAGCCAGGGTAGGAGCAGGAAACAATGGGAGATTTGATGAGAGTTGCTCTGTGATACTCCTGAGAAGCTCACAGAGCCAGTCCTGATCAGAGGGGAAATTGGGGGTTTCCAAGGCAACTTGCTCCCAGGCACAAAGGCATCTCTGTTTGCTAGCAGGCAAAAGAAATGTCTCCTCTACTACAGAGCCCTGGAAAAGGGTGTAGGTCGCGGGGTGTCTCTCAATTGCCTTAGAGGGCATCTGGAAGCCTGGCAGCTGCAGGATCACTTTAAAATCACTTAGGTATAACATGATGGTCAGAGACAAGTGCAGAGGAAATGCTCCCCACCCCATCCCCAGTTCACAGAAGTAATGTTTCCAAGGCAGCAGGAGCCTCGTTTTGCTTTGCAAAGCCAACAATAGACTAAAGTTCTGGATGTTCAAGAAAGAAAGAAAGATGTAGGCCAAATAGCAAGCACAACACTTTCCTAAAAATGAAGGGGAAAAGAGATGCTTTTGGTCTATCTGCAAAATTAAGCTGCTAATTTTTGAGCAACCAACACAGTAATTATAGTGTGAATTTAATATTTATTTACACAAAAATAAAAATAAAAAAGTATCTACAGTGAAGCTGAAGTTGAATCACAGGAAGGAAGCAGATCAATCTGTGATAATCAGTTCATCAACACCCCAGTCTTCATAGCTTCCATCTGGCAAGTACCTGCGGATAATTATGGGAATCTTCCGAGCTCTGTAGGAAAGAAAGAGGTACAATAAGGAAAAGGGCACTTTGGTCACACCGTGGATGCTCTCACACAGCCGCACTTTGATATAATAATATCACAATCACAAATTGACAGAATAATGGAGTTGAAAGGGTTCTATAAAGCCATCAAGTCCGACCCCCGGAACAATTACAAAGAAATTTCACACATGATGCTTTCCATTCCTCCAAATGTGAGCTCTGCATTTGGCAGTGCTGAACTGAGACCAAGGAATCTTCAAATGAACAGGTATAGAAACAATTTAAAAAGATTACTGGAGTGATATAAATGTTCTCCACAAATGGCCCACCTGTGCAGCAGAGGTTAAACCATTCCTATACTTTACCTGACAAAGAAATTACCCCACCTCTTTGTTGAATACAATAGCTATTAGAAGCTTTTGAAAAGTGAACAATTCAGAACTGAAAGGAAAGAAACTCAAATCCCAATTAATCTAAATAAAACTTTTTAGGTCAACAATGTATTTAACCAGCTTGGAATTTGTCCAGGACATCAGGCTTATAATCTTGCATCACATGAAAAGCAGAAATGTAGAAATCTCTTAAAATCACAACTTATTACAATGACTTGAAGTGAAATCTAGAACAACATCTTTGGTGGCAATCCCTTGACATAACCTCCTGTGGGAGGCATCAGTGGAACAGTCACAGCTTCCAACTGAACACCAAAACCAATTTAGATAATTTAACCTTTGGATTATATAAACTTGCTTCCATGAAGTTATGGAAGCGACTGTTCCATTATATGAAAAAAGAGGGAAATTTCAAGTTAATTTTACAGAGAAGACCTAGCTACAAATTGAATGAGTGCGTTAAAAAAAACTTGTACAAGTGTGAAAATCAAGGGCAACTGACTTGAGTTCAGTGCTTCTTTTCATTGATGCTTCTGCTTTAATGTGTGAAATGGAATTTGTTAACCTCATTCACACTACACTCAGTGCAACTCAGTTCCACTTTTTTTCAGAGGCTTCTACATAAGGTATGAATTGGTGCACTGACTTTCTAGACAATGACAGTTCTAAAGCATTAAAAAAATCCAAAGATGCATTGATTTTCTAATTAAACTTCAAATATTGGTCAGCTGATAGCTACAGGGCAGCTGAACTAGGAAGGAGAAACGGGAAAGTTTTCTTGTTCATTTCTGCAGAAAGGGTCAAGACTCTTTCATAATAAATTAATTCTATAAAACCTGACATGTGATATTTAGAAGAAACAAATGCTTGATCAAGATCACATTGACTGCATTTGCATCTCCTACTACACAATTTTCCCCCAAGTTGATTTAAGAACAATTTTATGTGAACTTTCTTTTGGGGAGGTGCTAGGAGAAGCATTACTTGGGTGTTCTATACATATGCAGAGTCAGCTCATTGGTAGTGGTGAGTGCACTAGCTTTAGCTCCCGGTACATGCCTTTTATGTGCTCCCTGATTTGAAGGCATATGTCTGGAATAGAGAATCTTTTCTATTACAACGGGTTCTAAATCATATGAGAATCTGCACAAGTAGAAAAGGCTTCCTGTTGTAGAAGTTAGGTAGTGATAGGAAGGAAGAGCAAGTGAACCATCTTCCTGTCTTTGCCCACCCCCTCTCTTGCATGTTCATTCTAAACATAAGTACAATGTGTAAATAAGGCTAGAGAGAGTAGCATTCAAGAGCAAATCAAACACACGTGGACAGTTTGATTCACTCTAACTTACTTGAGTTCTTTCATTGCAATCAGCAATGGGTCTGTCTCTCCTTCCAGTTCTACCATCACTGGGGCACACATGCTAAATTGGGGGGAAATGATTCCACAATCAATACAGATATAGGATAAACTGCAGTCCTTTCTTCAAATATTGAACAGAAAATCTAAAAGTACAGCAATGTAATAATCATTTCTCTTCACTTCAAAATGCTTAATCTTCAACACAGAAAGATGACTAGAGAAAGCATCATCAGAATGCTGTAGGGTGGCTCCAAGAATAAAGTAGTACAAGAGGAACTGTGTATTCAGTGCTTTATTCTAAACATTTTCTTTTCCTCTTGTCCACAGCAGAGAAGCTATATGTTCAGAAAAGTATGACACCATTTCCCACATACTCCTTTGCATGAAAACACTAGTTCCTTTCTGCTCCCTGAAAGTCCTAAGGAATGCTTAAACCTACACTTGGGTTGGAGGCCCTAAATATTCTGAGGTAATGGGGAGGATAAGACTAGACCTGGGTGTTGCCCTCAGTTGAAAGCAGATTTAAATACAGGAACATCACTGGCTCATATCCTCTATTAGTGCTTAATATATGGACTACAAATATCCTTACGCTATCTGAAGGGCACGGGTACCAAGAACTCTCGCTCGCTCATATTTGGTCATGTAAGGAGTAGTGATCCGCTTCTGGTTTGCCTGCTGGCGCTCTCCAGATGGCAGGATTTCCACATTTTCCTGACCCTCCTGCAGATTAATATAAAGAAAGAGATCCACTTTTACAAAGTTAAACATACAGACAAGTCATTACAATTACTTAAGAATTAAGGTAATATTTATAGAGAATTTAAATTATCAATATTAAGTAAAGGTATTAACATGATAAATGATTAAATAAAGATATTTATCTGATTAATACATAAGGCTGCCAATTTTTACTACCTACAAATAGCTAATAAGCCAAAGAACTGCTGTTTTCCTCTTAACAGACTAGGGTCTAATGGTTGTTGGGTCTAATTAGAAAGTAGTTAGGAAACAGACTAGGGTCTGTTTCCTAACTACTTTCTAATTATCAGCACATAAATTTACGAAGGGATTGGCACTGGAACCATATAGGTTCATGGTACAGGTAGACATTTATTTCCTATTCTCTGCCTCCACCTTTTGTCCTGACACCAAACATATGTATCTTGAAAACACACATGCTCATGCACCACTTCAGGTAAGCACTGTAATTTTTTTTACAGCAGTTTGAACTTCACAGGTTAAAGTCACTTACCTCCTCTGCATTTTCGAGATCGTCCAGCCCCTCATCTTCCTCTACATCATCAAAATCATCTCCATCAAAACTGGTGGGAAAAATATATTAAAGCCTTAAGCATAGTTCCAGAGTTAAAATCTAGCCTACATTAAACCACTCTCTTGCTTGTTTTCACTAAATATCCCCCTACCCCGCCAAATCTTAGGGAACTGGAACTCTAACACATGCATTTAGTCCAAACTTCTGAACCCACAAGATTATTGATATGAAACCAGCATCAGAAGATGATCATCAACCTCCAGGGCAAACTCAAAACATTCTTGGGAACAGACAATTTAAAACTGGTGTGATAGTACTCCTACTTATATAGTTTTTCCTCTCACTTCACAGTTCTTTCCATTTTTCCTCCAGAAAAGTATCCAAATTTTTTCAAAAATCTTATTTACTTTCAATGTCATCTCCACTCCACTTTTAGGAATTGATGAAACTGACAATTACCTCCTTATGCCCCTTCTCAAGCAAAAACAGAAAGCATCATCATAATAAATAAGAGGTAGACTGTTGCACTGATGAAATAATGAACTTTCTGGCAGAAAGATGTGGTGATGATCATAGGTTTAGTGGGCTTTACAGGATGATTAATCAAATGTATGTGTGAAGATCAGGAGAGCAGTGTGCTGTCACAGAACACAGAGACTGAAAGCGGATGCGTGGAGGGAATATTGATAGAGATACATCAAGAAGAGGTGGTATAACAAGTGGCAGCCGAAGTGTGCTTGGTAGATGAAGGAGGGGAGGAGCTAGATCTAATAGTATGGGAGGAGATAAAAGAGGGGGAAAGCGCGCGCGTTTTCATGCTGGTAACTGATGGTGAACTAGGGAAGACCATAAGTCGCGGGGTACAGACTGAACCCATGCGGGACTTAGGAGAGGCGTCCGGAATCGAGAAGGACTTTCCTAACGTACAGTTAGGAGGGGGATTATTGCCAGATCCGACCTTAACCGGCGCAAAGGGACGTGAGTTCAACACTTTAGGATGGACAGTGGCTGTGTACCCTCGAAACCAGCCTGGGGGATGGAGGGTGATCCGTCCTGGTCCCTCTTTTCAACAGAAACCGCCCGAGGGGGACTGGGCTCGTCACCCATGCTGTGGGACGGTCTGCGTGGTGCGGAATGCCCCCCTGAGACCTATGACAGACCGGGAATGCTTTGGTCCGGCTCCCTTTTGAAGGAAGGTAGAGGGAATGTTGGAGAAAGAATTAAGCAATACCACGTTTTGCCTGAGATAAGTTTATTAGATCCGTCTGACACTGTTGAACTTCATGCTGTTAAGAATAAAGAGACTAATGTTGAAAAGTTAGAGCAGCCTCCGACTCTTTTCCCCGCCTTTACAATGAGTGCGCCCCCGGCTGAAGAAGAACTTCGTTACAGTATGTCAACATCCATTAACCACGCCAGCTAAATGCTGGGCCCAGAGTATGCCACTAAATACCCCAATTAAAGAGTATGCCACTAAATACCAGTTAAAGATATTTATCTGATTAATATATAAGGCTGCCAAGAGTAAACAGTTATTGCTTTCACACCCTATAAGCACTATAAAAATGTGATCTTTATAGCCACTGGGGAAAAGATGACTTAGACATGCCTTTGGTCTCAGGTAAGAGAAATCTTCATGCTTACATGTGAGTGACACGAGGAAAGTGTTCTGTTGCAATTACTCAGTGGCATGCAAGCAGGAGGATCTTCTTGTGATTCAAGGCTTGTCTTAGCTTAGGATCTGAATCCAAATCTTTCTTGTTAGTGGGGCGCAGCTGTTCAAGTATGGAACAATTCAGGACAGAGCAAGTAATGTATTTTTGGCCATAATGCAAATTACATAAAACATTCTGTAGTAATTAGACTAAGAAAAACAGCACAAAAATGTACTTGATTTCTAGATCTCTTCATCAGTCAGGATCACTAGCTGATCTTGGGCCAGCAGGTTCTCTCTCTCTCTCTTCGACCTACCAGACAGGATTGTTTTGAATATACAATGGGGACAGGCACCACATACAATGTCCTGAATTCATTAATGAAAGGGCAAAACGGTATTAATTAGGGATGAACAATAATCCCAACACACATTATTTATTTATTCTGTCTCTCCTTTAGAGCAGTGATTCCCAATCTTGGGCCCCCAGATGTTCTTTGACTACGACTCCCAGAAATCCTGGCCAGCAGAGGTAGAGGTGAAGGCTTCTGGGAGTTATAGTCCAAGAACATCTGGATTATCCAAGGTTGGGAACCACTGCTCTAACGAGCTCTAGGCAGCATGGATGGCTCTCCTCCTCCCCACTTTACCCTCGCAACAACCCGGTGATGTAGGTCCGGCTGAGCATGTGTGGCTGGCCAAAGATTTCCCCCCGCCCCGTACTTCTCTCTCTCAGGCAATGATCTGAAGCCGGCCTCCCGAGTCCTACCCCAGTGCTCTAACCACTGCACCCTCCCGGCTGTTTGGTTCAGAAACACGTGGTTCCCAATCCTGGAGAGACCACCCCCCACCCCCAACCCGCAACGTCTCCTCCAACCGGCACCGACCACCCCCGCCAAACGCTCGGTACCCTCAGAGTACTGCTCGCCTCGTGGGCGCGTGAGCTTACTTGTCCTCGTTGTCCGACATGTTGCGGCGCCTTTTCCCGGCTCGGCGCGCGGCTCTCGCGATTCCACCTCCGACAAGCTCCGAGGGGGCCCCGCCACGAGCGCGAAAGGGCCAAGAACGGCCACCACACCGAAGACGAACTCCCCGACGTTCTGACGCAGCCGAGGCTACGCGCTAGGATTTCCGGAGTCAGAGGGCACTTTACCGGAAGTGGTCCGAGAGGGGGTTGTCATGGTGACGAGGGCCGCCAGTTCGGGTAAGAGAGAGTAGTACGGAGTTCTTCCCCTGGAAACACCCTCGGCACCTTACTCTGTAGTAAGGGTGGGAACAGGGATAAGTAAGAAGGAAGGGCAGAAGTGGGAAGGAAATGAAACGCAACATCTCATTGCTTTGTTTTCATGTCACATTTCTGCCTGCAAGATATCAAAACAGACGGTGGGATCACCCACATTTAGAGCATCCAGATAGATTCGTGGTTAATGTAGCATGAAGAGTTCTCGTTTTCTTAAGGTCCTTCCCACTCCTTCTGATGAAGTTTTATTTTACAGTACTCTATACAACAAATAACTCAGCTAATGCAATAAGATAGAGAAGTTGGCTTTTGGGTTTTGTAGAATCATACAAAGGAAAAATAAAAAGGTCCATCTGATCCTTCTCCAGAACGCAAGGATCACCTGCCCCATAACGGTAGGCTAAATACCCTACAAATAGGTTCATGTCAGGAAATTGGCGGGAGCACAGTAGGTCTCGTTGGACCAAGACAGTAAGCCAATTCACAGACAGACGGACGGAGGGAGGGAATTCCACCCTCACGTCATCACCTGCCTATCTTTGGCTCAGTTGCTGCAGTCCTATGTGACATTAAGCCCATCTGATGGATTTATATTTGAATGGATTACATGTATTTATAACAGAAGCAAACCTACTAAGTTAGTATATAAAATAACAGCATTTTAAAAAGTTCAAAGAGCAGCACAAAACAGTAGGTGCTGCTTTTGGTAATTCGTGTGATGTGCTCAGAACACCTACCCAACCAAAGCAAACCGATGCTGGAAGTAGATCTTGTAGCCCTTTTAAAAGACAGCTAAAGATTAGCAGCTTTGCATGCCTGGGTATTATAAAAATCCTGCTTCTAGTATGGAGGTTAACATTAACAGTATATAAAACAGAACTTGATCTGAGGAAGACTGTTGGCAGTGAGGAAAATGGGAAATATAGGAATGGGAAATATAGGAAAATGTAGGTACTGGTGCATAAGGCTAGAAAGAAAATAAAGAAGGTTAAAGCCAGCAACTGAATAGGGCCAAGAAGCCCATGAATGCAGCTAACACAGAAACACATACACACATCAAATTGTACCAAATGTATGGCAATGATACCTTAAATGCAAACAAACCACCTTTCTGAAGTATGTTTAGGTAGGATGCACTTTCTCCTTTTTTTAAAGTGTGATGTCACAAAAAGAATAACTTTATGTTTATTTATTTTCATTGGCAAACTTTTATATTCGGTAATGCAATTATTAGAGAGGAGGGAGACACTGGCTGAAGTCCTGTTGGTGCAACTCCATGCACAAGGCTAATGGTGTCATCTGCTGCAGGATTTCATTGCTAATTAAAAGTTTCTGATTCCACCCACCCCTATCCCAAGGCTCCCTAGAAAGCATTCCCAGCCTAGAAGATCTTTGAATCCTCTGCCACCAGTTCAGGGAACTTTTAATTAGCAATAAAAGGTTATGATATCCACAGCCTTGCACATGTAGCTATACCAGCAGGATTTCAGTCACTATGTCTTTTTAAATTGTAGTGCTTATAGCTGTGTAAGATTTTTCTCCACTTTTTATTTTTTAAGTGCCACAATGGCTTCCCGAGAGAAGACCACACCTGCTGTGGCAAGAGACACTGGATTTTGGCATGTGCCCATTGTGACTGAGTACAGCAAAGAAACACAAGAGCTGTTAAAAGGTAACCAGAGGGCTCAACAGAGGTTAGAACAAGTATGGATGCTTGCAACCGTTGTTTATTAGCTATGTATCCTACCTTGCTGTCTCAGATTATGTAAATTTCTAACTGAATGCATTCCCCTATGTATAGGTCCTCAGCCTCTTTCCAATGTTTGTGCAAATAATTTTGTTCAACAGTCAGGATGTATAGAGATAACAATTCAGAAGAAGGGCAGGTACACATTCACCTTTCACATTCTGCAGCTCATCTGGGATCAGTTACTTCCCTTTCATTACCTGTTTGTGCCACAGGCAGCTGTAAGCTCCAATTCATCCCACTCGATATAGTCACAGGAATATAGGAACCTTCCTTATTCTAAGACAATTAATTCATTTAACCTACACTGACTGGCAGCAGCTCTCTTTATTTTTGGAAGGGAGTCTGTTCCAGTCTACTGGGATATGCAAGAGATTGAAAGCATTGTTCTCTACCTAAGCTACAACTCTGTCTTGAGTGATGGGCTGTCTACCCAGTGGGAGTTACATTGTACTTGTGCAAAAAAAGAGACTTGCTTTTTATTTATTTTTATTTATTTATTTATTTATTTATTTTATTTATATCCCACCTATCTGGTCGGGTCAGGACCACTCTAGATGGCTAACAACATAAAATTATACAAGAGGTATACTGTATATATATAAAAACAATTTTTAAATAGCAAAACATTTTTGGACATTTCTGTTCTGTTGGCCTATTGTACTTCTAGTTTACCACCCATTATCCAACAGATGTCAGAGGCCTGTTCAACAAAAATGCATTAGTATATGACATTTAGCCTGACTGAAAGTGGCATAGTGTTTGTCAATCCACTGTTTGCCATTTAAATTCTGCATCCGTTCTTTCCATCCAATTCTGGGGGAGCTGTTTTGGTCTAAACTAGTATCTGTTATCAGTAATGGAATGAAGAAGGAAGAAGTGGACAAACTGAAGCTTAATCCAGACAAGACAGAGGTGCTCCTGCTCAGTTGAAAGACAGATTAGAAGCAGGGATTCAGTCTGTCCTGAATTGGGTGACACTTCTCCTGAAAACTTAGGTGTGCATTCTGGATTCCGGTCTGAACCAGGATGCCTAGGTTTCAGCAATGGCCAGGAATGCATTTGCACAGTTAAAACTAATGTAGCAGCTGTGTCCTATCCTTGAGAAGTCTGATATGGCCACTTTGACACCAGTCTTGTATATATCCTGTTTAGATTACTGCAGTGGATTGTATATGGGTCTGCCTTTGGAAGCTCTTTGGAAACTTCATTGGCTCTAAGATGCTGCAGCAAGACTCCTAACTGGAGTTGGTTACCAGAAGAATAGAAATTCCTTGTTAAAATAGCCTCATTGCCCCAGTTTATTTCTGGGCACAATTCAAAGTTTTATATTGGTTTTGTATTAAAACAACTTGAGTCCAAGCTATCTGATGAACTGGGCCTCCCTCAAATAGCTGCCCCTTAAGACCATTGGGGGAGGCCTATTTCTTGGTCCCGCTGCCCTTACAGATGTGGATGTGAGAGAGGGCCATTTTGGTGGCTGCTCTCAGGCTGTGGAACTCCCTTGCTTGGGAGACTAGGTTGGCCTGCTAATTGGTCTTTTCTTTGTAAGCAGGCTTTTAATAAGTAAATTGCTACTAAGGAAGTGGTTTTAATGGGAGAGTTGTCTTTTTTTTTTCTTTTTACTACTTAAAATGGTGCATTTTAAAATAAGCTTTTAGTGCCATTGTTTAATACATCTGCCAAAACTGTTCTACCTGTCTGTTCTTGGTATGTTGTTTTTCTGCTGTTTTATTTATTTCTTTGTTCTTACCTTTTTATTTTTTGTTTATTATTTATTTTTATTGTATAATGTATATTTATTTATTTAATTTGTTTGTTAAACACCAGGGGTAGTGTTTTGCACTAATGAAGAGGTATAAAAATTGAATAAATAAATACATTAAAATTAAATACATTATACATTGCTTTAAAGGGATTTTATTTAGAACATTTTACTTATTAATGCATTTAATTGTTTTTAATACTGTAGTTTATTGTATTTGAACAGTTTTTAAAATTTGTGGTAAGCTGGGAGAAAGGCATGGTATAAATTAAACAAATAAATACATAAATAATTGTAACAGTGGATGCAGGTGAACGGACTGAGGCTGAATCCGGATGAGACGGAGGTCCTTTGGGTGGGTGCCCCAGACATCAGTGGTCTGGGAAACTCCTTTGGGGGGGTGACTCTTACCACCAAGAGTGAGGTTCACAGCTTGGGTGTACATCTGGACCCGGCACTCACCATGGAGACCCAGGTGTCGTCAGCGGTCCGTTCCGCACATTTCTACCTTCAGCGGATTGCCCATCTGCATCCCTATCTTGATGTGGGGGCGCTCGCCACTCTGGTCCACAAGCTCGTAATCTCAAAATTAGACTACTATAATGTGCTTTATGTGGGGCTGCCTTTGAGATTGACGCAGAATTTTCAGATGGTACAAAATGCGGCGGCCAGACTTCTAACTGGGGTGAAAATGTATCAACATATTTCCCCCACACTGGCCACCTTGCATTGGTTGCCCATTAGTTTCTGTGTTGAGTTCAAAGTTCTTACGATTACATATAAAGCCATAAACTGTTTAGGACCTTGATATCTGGCAGAGTGCCTTCTCCCACCCAGTTCTGCCAGAGTCACTCATTCCAGCCAGGACGGGCGGCTGAGGGGCCTAACGCCGAGGACGGTCCGGAAGGAAAGAACAAGGAACCGGGCCTTCTTGGCAGTGGCCCCTCGCCTCTGGAACAACTTGCCTGTGGAGATCCGCCTGGCTGGGTGTCTTCAGAAGTAAATTTAAGACTTAGTTATTTGGGCAGGCTTTCCTTCCTGCTGTATCTTAAATTCATATTTTAACATCTTGTATTTATTGCATGTTTATTGGTTTTATTGGTTTTACTGTTTTTAAATTTGTAATGCCACCCAGAGTAGACCTTTGGTCTACATGGGCGGGGTACAGTATAAATCTAATAAAATAAAAAAAGAAATAAATAAACAAGGTGCAATCTGGAATTATGATCACTTATGCAAATAAAAGTCCTCTCTTGAATCTCTTCTTCTTGCAACTTGTGCCAAGGTCTTGCTTACACTATGTTCTGATATGCCCTAAACAATGTTTGGTATACAGTACTAGCACTACCTGCCCTAGATATACTATGTGCTATCTATTTCAATTTGCTTTCCATGATTTTTTGCAGAAAGTTTGGCAGATCTTTGGGGTTTGGTCTCAAGTCCGAGTCTGAGTCTTTGGTACCAAGTCCCGAGTCCCTATTAAAAATAAGCTTTTTTCACCAGAAAAGAGAGGGAGTCATGAGTCGTGTCAGAGTCGTTGACCTTATTAAAAACAAGCTTTTTTCACCAGAAAAGAGAGAGGGGGAGTCATGAGTCATGTCAGAGTCGTTGACCCTCTCCCTCAAGTTGAGTTCAAGTCAAGTCGACTTAAGTCCAACTTGGCAGCAAGTCCCGTGACTTGAGTCCCCATCCCTTCTTTTTTGCTCCATTTCTTCAACAGCTGCCACTAAAGTGGTTGGGCAAACTGTTGTTTTTTTAATGGTACTGCAACGTTGTAGTTGTTTTTCCTTTAATGACCTTTCTGGAGAATACTTTCTGAATTGAAAACATTTAGTGCAGTACAATCACACTTTTGAAGATTAAAATAGTTATTTAGGATTCTAATTGTTTATGAAAAATATCCTGTAGCTCAGACTTCTGTGCTATGAGGCCCTCCAAATATGTTACAAAATACTCACCATCCCTAGCAAGGAATCACATTCCAGCAGATTTAGAGGCGAGGAGGAGGATTGGAGAAGGTCGCTGTATAGTTTAAAAACTTCAACAATGTCTTCAAAGATCTGTGGGGAAATTCTGGGGAGCATGTATGTGTGTCTAGGTATTTCATCTTCTTAGGAAAAGGTTCCCCTTGACATTTACTCCAGTCATGCTCATCCTTGTCTCCAAGCCATAGAGCCAGACAGTTTCCATGGTCACGTGGCCAGCGCAACTAGACATGGAACACTGTAACCTTCCCACCATGGTGGTACCTATTCATCTACTCGCATTTTTACATGCTTTCGAACTGCTAGGTTGGCAGGAGCTGGGACAAGAGGCAGGAGCTCACTCTGGTGCGTGGATTCGATCTGACGACTGCTGGTCTTCTGACCTTGCAGCACAGAGGCTTCTGCGATTAACCAACAGCGCCACCACATCCCCTTTCATCTTCTTAGACAGCTGTTATTTGTGTGAAATTTCCTTCTGCAAATGGGCTGTTGCCTTTGGAGTGCTTGGATCAAAAGGTTTTCAATTTTTCTTCTGCATTTCAGTGATGATGCAAGAATCCAGACTTACTAATTTCCAGCAACGTCATCTCATAAACTACATGAAACGTAAGTTATCTCTGCATGCAACCTTTCCTTCACATTTAGCTCCAAAGCTGCTGGTTGTTAAAAAGTGGCTGATTCCTAAATTTGGTGCATTCACAGTCACATGTACCATCCCTGACTAAAGGGGAAAAAACCATTCCCTCAGAAAGGAAACTTACAGGCTCAAGAGGTCAAACAGATCATAAGTGGTAATAAGTCATGGATTATGGCTACTGAAGAGATCTGGTTTTATCCAGCTCTCGCTCTCTGAGTCTTAATGAAGGCCCTGTTATAGTTCTGGCTGTTCCAGAGTAGATTTGTCAACATATGGTATAAAAGTAACTATGAGCAGTTTTAAACAAAAGCTGGGAATCAGATGTTCCTGAATCCATGTCAGATGTGGTATACAATGCTCCACCATACTAGAATACTGGATACTTTTTCTGTAACTAACTTCTGCTTCTGTTAAATTGTTGCTGTGTTGGCACTTTATTTTCTAATTGTATTTAATTGTTTTTAGTCACGTAGGGTGGTGTGCAGGTGCTAGAAGGACAGGATCCAAGTTTCTTGGTAAATAAAATAAAAATCTACATGTTACTTAGGCATTTGGTTTGCAGCCATGCTCCTACCTAGAGTGCTTGGTTTTAAGACCAAGTATAAGAGCTTTTCCAGGATTGTATCCTTTAGTCCTCCTAATAATAGGTTACAAGGCCTTATCTCTCACCCTTTCTCTTTCCTTCCTTAGGAGGTGACTCCCTGCCTATCCACTGCAACCCAACTTCCAGCAGGGAACCACAGCTTTCAAAGCCTGTCTCGCCATCAAAGGTCTTTCTGTCCATCAATCCATATGGTAGACCTCACCTTCGGCCTGCTGAGATCTGCCGGGCAGGTGATGCATATACCCGGGAGAAATTCAGGCCCCAAGCTACCCGTAAGTCAGTAGATGATAGCAAATGATAAAGCTGGTTGAAAAAGATGAAGAGACACACATTTTCAGTAATCTTTACAACAGGGTGCTAGTGTGTATTTGTGTGAGTGCATTGAAAATGAAAGATAAGACAGAGGGCCTTCTCTGTGGTGGTTTCTATCTCTGGTATGATGTCTTCATCTCCGCAGATTGGTGCCCTATGGAGTTATCATTTGGGTCCAAGATAAGATATATTTCCCAAACATTATTAAAGTGTGATGTTGGTTTGAGGTTAATCCACTTTGCATTTTATGCCCATGCATTGTTCTGGTTACAATGCAGTTTCATTTTATTAGTGTCATTTTTTGTTTATGTTTTTCTTGCCACCCTGCTATATTAGGATGAAAGATGGATTAAGAACAACAAAGAAAGAATAAACAAGGGTCTTCCCTAAGCTAATGGCTGAGGCATGATTTGGATATTTCCTAGTTCTGGCTTTCAGCTGTTAGACACTGCGCTAGATTTTAGATTGTCTTTGCATTCATATATGAAGCTCCTGTTCCTAACAGGAGCAGAAGTTTTAGACCACATCTAAAAATTTTATGTGTTAAATGTTCACCTCTCTTCTCTGAAAAGCTAAAGCTACAACCATCACACAAACCCGAACCTGTGAGTAAGCCTCTTTGGACACTGTGGAACTTATTTTCAAGTGAACATACATACAATGATGCTGTATATGTTACCTTGCTCTTTTACTGTTGCTTTTTGTGCTCAGCAAATCTCGTTATAGTCAACTTGGCTCACACAGATATAGCTAACTTATGTTAGTACCTTTAGCCAGCAAATTTGCCACACTGAGTATGTGTGGGCTTTATTCCATATGGATTTATGAATGAGATTTTGATAGAAAACTCTATAGCATCCATATTTTTGGCATTTGTAGGAGACTTGGAGAAAGAGAAGGAAAGACTTCAAAACATCTTAGCAACAGGAAAGGATAAAGTAGAGAAAAAGCCTCCGAAAAAGCCAGTCAAGATGGAAGAGGAGGTACCAGAACTAGACCGGTTTGAAGAACGTATGTAAAAGGATTTTTTTTTGTAGAGAGCAGAGCTGGGCAATTTCTAAAGGGCTGAAGGTCATTTCCTCTCCTCTGGAAGGTACATACCTTCTCCAACCTCTCAGCTCCTCCTAAAACCCTAAAAATGTAGCCCCCAAATGCAAATTGTACCACAGAAGTCATGGGGGAGCATAATTTATATTATACACGCCATTTTACACCCACTAGAGCCTATGTTGGATCTTAAAAGGGATTATTTTAAGAAATAAAAAATGATTGGCCAAAGTCACAGTGGGTTTAAATAAAGAGTTTTAAAGCTCTTAAACACCTGGAGGAGTGTAATCAGGTATATTGTATAAATTGCTCTCCACATATCTGTGGAGATCAATTTGGATTTTGGGAGTTTATTTTTAAAATTTAAGAGGTTGAGGGAGTCTGGAGAGCTTTGGAGGCTCCATGTATCCAGAAGCTGTACTTTGCTTGCTGTGATACAGGGTTTAGGGCAGTGAAAGGGAAGTAGCTCTTCTAGCTTGGAGATGAGCAGTAGTGCTCAGAGGAAAGCGGTAGCTGTTCCTATTGGGTTCAGGGAGATCCCTGAGAGAGAGGATTTGTCCTTATTTTGTCCTGCTCTGTATTTTCAGATTCAGAGTGCTGATGTCAAATAAATATGCCATGTTTCCCCAAAAATAAGACAGGGTCTTGTATTAATTTTTACTCCCAAAAAAGCAGTAGGGCTTATTTTCAGGGGATGTTTTAATTTTTTCATGTACAATAATCTACGTTTATTCAAGTACACTCATGCCATCTTCTTCTGGTTGCTGCACAATGGTGGAAGGTGGGCTTTCACTTAACTAGGGCTTATTTTCAGGGTAGGTCTTATTTTCAGGGGGACATGGTGGCGCTGTGGGGGGACGTGGTGGCGCTGTGGGCTAAACCGCAGAAGCCTGTGCTGCAGGGTCAGAAGACCAAGCAGTCGTAAGATCGAATCCACGCGGCGGAGTGAGCTCCCGTCGCTTGTCCCAGCTCCCGCCAACCTAGCGGTTCGAAAGCATGCAAATGCAAGTAGATAAATAGGGACCACTTCGGTGGGAAGGTAACAGCGTTCCGTGTCTAAGTCGCACTGGCCATGTGACCACGGAAGATTGTCTTCGGACAAAACGCTGGCTCTATGGCTTGGAAATGGGGATGAGCACCACCCCCTAGAGTCGAACACGACTGGACAAAAATTGTCAAGGGAACCTTTACCTTTACCTTATTTTCAGGGAGACAGGGTAAGTGGCCATACAAATCACTATTAAGATTTAGTTGCATTGGCCATGGAATGATTTATTGTTTCTGAAGTAAATATTGTAACAGAACCATAGTCCTCACCCCACTAAACTAGAACAGGCAATAGAAAGCAACTTGCACTACGTAAAACATTGCTTCACACAAAGCTGCATTATGGCAGCGTGAAGCAAGATGACTGCACATTGAGGATGGGCACAGTGGGAAGTGCCTAAGTCAGATCCTTGCCAGAAAACACATAGAATACGGATATGATCTTCAATAAGCTGGGCCCAACTATACGAGCAGAGAAGATGGTTATTGTTGGTGGCAAAACTGCCAGGGTGTAAATATACAGTACATGGAGGCTGTTATCTTTCCTGTGCAAATGGAGTGCATACTTTCGATTTCTGGTGGATATTTATGGGTCTCTGGAATGCACTCCATATATGTGAGAGGGGGAAAAACTTGAGCAGGTAAAAGCTATTTATTCACAACTCATAAAGATCCTTTTGTCAGCACAGAAGTGAGTTTCCCATTCTGGATGGCAACAGTGCTCTTGTACTGTTTTGCGTCCTGTCTCCAAAGTACTGTACCTTCTCTGAACCTGGAGGGCCTCATCAGTGTGGCTAATGTCTATCAATGTGACATTCATTCATGGTTTCTCCGTAAATTTGTCTAATCCTGTTTTTGATGCTGTTGATCTTAATGTGGCAAGTTCATTCCATGATCTAATTATCTGTTAAGATATTTCCTTTTCATAAACGTGAAGAAGCCCTACCCAGTCATTAACCCTGGTTTCTTTCCAGGAGAATGATAGTCATTTCTAAGTTTAAATAGAATACAAGCAACTAATAGAATATGTCTAAGAATTGGAAAATGAATGATTTATAGAGTGCAGGAAGTACTGATGTGTTCCAGCCCTCGGGCTCTTTATTCCACATTGCTTTCTTTTTGTTCAACATCTAGTGGTGAATGAAATCCAAGACCGACAAAAATTTCTGGCAGAGATGGAAGCTCTGGGACAGGACAAGTTATACCAAGGGATCATCCTTACTGAAGTATCACAGGTAACTGACTTCTTCTGGTCTAGTAATTCTGATATCCACCCGGTTATTGTTAGACAGTTAGACAATCAAGCGCAACATACTTTGAGAAGACGGGGAGAGTTTTGGCAAATTAGTACATGTGTGCATGCCTGAACCTAGGAAACAGGGATTGAGGTGAAGACTCTAAAACAAAAATCTTGGGGGCAGCGGAAATAAACCTTCAACTCTCTGGTTACACATTATGACAAAATTACTTGTAGACTTCTCACACCTTCCCCTGCTTTTTCTAGAAACTACGTGAGATGGAGATAATCGATAAGCAGAGGAGTGCAGAACTGAGAGAGGCAATGGCTGCTTCCTTCAAAAGAGGCAACAGACCTGATCCTTCAAGCGCAGGTGAAGACAACCAGTAGTCTTTTGCAAGGCTTGTGGCATCATTTCCTTCTGCTGCCATAGGCCTTCCCATTAGACAGCAGTTAGAATAGCAGTGATGTAGTTTTAGCCCTTGTAGTGCAGAGATGGACAATTTTTCAAGCCCAGCTGGAAGGCTGGCACAGCTGCTTGCATGCACGCAGTCTCCCCCTTCCACATCTTCCCCGGGCGCACACAATCTCTCCAGTTTCCTATTTTGCTGTGTTCCTCTTGATTAACAAATACAATAATTTCTGAGCAAGTGAACAATATTCTTGGTGCAGCGGAGTGGGGTCCTGATTTCAGAGGAGGCACAGAGAGAAGCTGCAGATTGTAGAGTGCTGCTTTAGTGGCCAAAAGCTATGGATGCATTTCAATGCGGGTTTTTCTGCATAAACATTAGGAATACTCTATTCATAGCAGTTAGCAGAAGGAGGTCTTTTCATGATGTGGATAGAAACAGTCATTTGATTGCTCTTTGGCAATAAGGGCAGAGGGTGTGTTTTGTTTTCAAGTAGACCAGCAAGGAATGGAAGAAGCTCAGCGTACCTGCCTCTGAAACATAACAGCACACATTGTTTTCTGCCATTTTTACTTTTATTTATTAAAATACAAATGGCCAAAGTACTTCAAGCAAGGATTCAGCATGAGGATTTCTGGATAGGCCTTTTTAGGGTTCAAACAATTTTCAGCTAGCCTTTGGCAGAAGTTAATATTGCTATGTCTCATTTATAATCTTTTGCATACTTGCTCATGGCTGCCACTTCAAAACTAGCAAGAGGGGAGAGAATCAGAGCACTATATCAAAACATGGGCCTTCTGTGACTATCTCAATGAGACTAGGGGCATAGAAGAACAGGTTGAAGCCAACCTAAATACGATGGGGAAGCCATGTTTTTCTTTCTTATGTCTGCATTGATCACATCTAAACTAGAGAGGTTTAATTTTTATAACAGTAAGTGGATGGGTTAGGGAGCTGACCCATTCAGTGCTTTAACTCACTGTACTCAATTGCTTAAATCCTTTTTTCAATATTCCAGTTCACTGTTAGTATGCTATATGAGGCTGGGAGAAAGGTGACTGAGTGTCAAAAGATAAAGTGGCTAAGGATATCTGGTTCCTCTCATGTGCAGGGGTGTTTCAGTGAAAAAGGAAAGCTCCTGTTCTACTTTAGATGCAGCCAAGGCAAGCAGACATGTGGTCAAGGCTAGTTTAGCTGTCAACCATCCTGCTTAAGTAGTTGGGCCGGCGGGGGGGGGGGGGGGAGAAGCAATAGTGCTGAAGTGCATCTTTGAGGCTTCATGATCATTTGTTTTCCATTCCTTGGAAATATATTTATGCAGCACTGATCTTGTTCCCTTTCGGCTAGAATAAGCAGAGTCAAAACACAGTAAATAAATATTGCAACAGATGCGCGATACAATTTGTTTATTTGATTTCTTTGTTCCCTGCACGTCAGTGAAGAATGTAGTTAATACAGTGTAATTATGTCCACCACAGTCTGGTGGAGATTTCTGATGGGAGTGTATAGGGTGGCATTTTAGACCCGTGGCTTGTTTTGCTTTACAGAGGAGAATGTTGTGCTTTGGGATCAAATCCAAGGGCAACTTCGCTGTGCGGGAGTCAGATGATGGCTGGCATTCATTTGCAAGGGTCAAGAACATGGCCCCAACCACAGTTGGCAACACTCATGAATGTAAATCCCCTTGTGGAATGGTTCAGGCTGGGTGTTGCAGCCCAGGTCCAGCCAAAAATTCATCATATTTGGATAAGGCAGCACTGCAGTTTGCTCTGGGCTGGTAGTCTGCTCTGCTAACAAGAACTCAAGACTAACAGCTGACTAACCAACACCTACAATACTATCAGTGTTTAACTCAGACCAAACAAACATTTCAATAAATAGATCCTCAACGCAGAGAAGGCAGAAAGGAAGGAGGAAAGAGACGTCTCCCTCTTAACACACACACACACACACGCGCCACACAAATAAAAACAAAGCTGGAAGAGCGGGCTGAAATTTCACTAACAAAATGGTAGAAAGAGCTGTCTTCAAAATTTTATAAAAATATATACAGACCAAGCTGAGGGAAGAGGGCAGGAAGCAGCCAAGATCCCTCCCAAATGGGCTAGTGGTGGCACTGGTGAGCAAGGCCAAAACGAAGTCTTGTTGGCATTGAGGACAGCTTCATAATTCCCTCTGCCTAAGAGCAGAAAGGGAAAGTCTCAACCTGTCCCAGTCCCATGAGGAGCACCATGGATGACATTAGCAGCAGCAGCAACCTTGAGGGTTATAAAAAACTTATTAAGTGTCCTGTTCAGACCTGAACAAATGATCACCTCTTTGCTTCATTTTGCAAAACTTCCTCTTTGCTTCATTCAGAGTTTTCCTAAGACCCAAGGACTTACAGCACATCTTTGGTGATAGAGAAGGCTTCAAGAAATAGGGCATTAGTTAGTTTTTTGTTGCTGTTTCTGTTGGCCCTTGTGACAAAAAAAATCTGAGAGCTCACCAGTTTAACTGTTATAAACCAACAACAAAATAAATAATCCTGCTCTGAAAACGCCAAGTTTTTTCAAATAATTTTTTGGACAAGTAGGCAAAAAAGAGATCTGTAGCAGGGGAGGAGAGCCATTCCTCCCCCCTAGTCCACTGTGGAAGGTCTCCTCCTTCCTCAGAGGACAGGGGTATGAGGCACATGTGACTATCACAGTTTAGAAAAAGGAGACAATTAGTGCAAGTTTTTCACAGACAATCAAATCTGGGACTGCTCAGAACACTGAATAAGAGTACACACACAACGGAGGAAGTCTAAAAATGTCTTACTCCCCCCACCCTCATCCACCCTCAAGCTAAAGGAGACACAAGCAGCTTCCTTCTCCAAGTCTGTTCCTCCTCAATGTCCAGTGCTAAGTGGAGCTGCTATACCTCCCATCTTCTCTAAGCATAAGAGAGTACGCTGCTGGAAATGGCTGCATTTCTCTTGGGAAAAGCTAGCTTTGGTATATGGTGAGGCACAGCTTCTAAAAACCAGGGGCAGGAGGCACAAAGTCCTGTTTGCCAGGCTCCCAGCCAAATGGAAGACTGAAGCAGCCAGAAGGCATAGCAGTCCTGCCTGCTTTTGGCTGCCACCGGCTTTAGCTTTTCTCCTTGGGCGACTTGCTCTTTGACTCATGTTTGTTCCCAAGCAGCTTCAACATTTTCATGGGCTTGAATTTCCCTTTCTTCCTGCTCTCGGCCTCAGCTTCTCTGTGAAACTCTGGAAAGAGAAAATGAGATGCACTATAAATCCTTTCTGTGGAATGCAAGCTGGGGCGCCCGCAAGGAAAGGTGGGAGACATGGGAAACTCACATCAGAAGATCGCCACTTTGGGGAAGATTGATCTACACTCACTTCCCCAGATTTTCAAGCTTAAACCCAGGGAAGTGCCCATTAACCCCTGGAAGTCCAGAATTCTACTTTAAGCAGATTTTGTGTGTACAAAACTTAAATTCTGTAAATGAATAGTTTAGTATCAGTCACCTTGGATCAATTTTGCAGCTGGGGTAGGTACTGCTCACAAAAATTGCAATTATGTTTAATTTAGAGAGGCAAGACAGACGCTTGTGGAGAAGTGTGAAAAGGGAACTAACCACTGAACAGCTATCCAACCCTCTTTGTAGGGATGTACCTTATAGGCAATGTAAACTTTCATCACTTCCTGGCCACCATCTATGGTCAAGTTTGGTTTGGGTAGTAGGTAAAACCTCTCCAATTTTTTTTTCAGCTAGTAGGTTCTTCTTCTTCCTGCATTTCTTTTCACATTTATTCAACCCTGAATGATCAGCTGTAGCAATCTGTACTTTACAAGTCCTCGTGCCCACCCCCAACATCCTTAGGAGGATGCAATTAGTATTTTGGAGGCAATTACTTTTTTTAAAAAAAAATGGTGTTCAAATTTAAGTTTTTGTTGCTTACTACATTTTTCACTTAAAGGAAGGTACTCCTCAAAGTGCATCGGTTATACAAGGGGCAGAAATGAGATTGGCATGGATGTCAGGTTTTAATATGTTTCAGCAGAAAACAGACAATCCTGCCTGATATTCAGAACTGGAATCCTGTTGTAAAGGAGTCCAAACAATTTTGGGATTCTATGGCTTTTTTAACTTCTGATCCAGTCCTCACACGTACCTTTCTTTTTAATCATGGCTTCCACCATTTTATCCTCTTCTTCCTCCCTGGCAAAATAAGAGAAAGCAATAGTGAGATTCCGCCATAGTGAGCACTCACCACTTTGGTTCATGCGCTTGTAATCTTGTGATTAGACCGCTGTAATGCGCTCTACATGGGGCTACCTTTGAGATTGATGCGGAAGCCTGAAATGGTGCAGAATGCAGCAGCCAGACTTCTTAGTGGGATGAGAAAACATCAGCATATTTTCCCCACTATGGGTCCCTTGCCTTGGCTGCCCGTTTGTTTTTGCATTGATTTCAAAGTGTTAATGATTACACATAAAGCCCTAAACGGTTTAGGACCTGTAGCGGAACACCTCCTCTACCTAGATCTACTTGAATCACTCACTCTAGCCAGGAGGGGCTGCTGAGGGGCCTAACACCGAGGGAGGCCCACAAAGAACAAAAAACTGGGCCTTCTCGGCAGCGGCCCCTCGCCTTGGGAATAGTCTCCTCCCCCCGAGATCCGCCTGGCCCCCTCGCTGGGTGTTTTTAAGAGCCAACTCAAGACCTGGCTATTTAGGCAGGCCTTCCCTCCTGTCACCACTTGATTTCTATTTTCCCATCTTGAATGATATTGTGTTTGTTGTTGAACTGTTGTTTGATATATTAGATTGTTTTTAGTCTTTTTTTTATTGTTAGCCGCCCAGAGTAGACGTTGTCTAAATGGGCGGGATATAGATTTAATAAATTAAATAAATAAATAAATAGTTATGGCATGATTTATTGATAGACGCTGTTATACTCAGTAGAAGTTACTAGAGAGAAGCATGAAATGGAAATCTAGTAATTTGTGGTTAACTAGGAACCCCCATGAACCTAGAGAAAAATGAACTGGTTTGCAGTTTATTTTTCCAGTTTGTGCTGAGGGGGGCCTGCCTGCTCCTACAGCCTCTGCCACCACCATGGGAGCATTGCTCCCCAGCAGTGGTGGGCTCCTGGCAGGGAAGATGGGCACACTGCCTCTAAGGATGGCACTGGCAGCAGAAGCAGGTAAGCAGTGGCAACGGGAAGTGAGACGGGGGCAGGCAGGCAGGCATCTGTTTTGCCAAAGCATATGAAATGCTAAAGGCAAAAAAAGTTCAACAAAATGGGATCCTTGAACTGGGTTGTGAAACAAATCACAAACCAGCCCAGTTCATCAGGTTCTTTTGGTTTGTGGTTCATTTCATGCCCAGCTTTTAGAAGTTACTCTTCCCCAAATAATATTTAGTTGATAGCCCCTGCTTAGGTAACTAGGTCAAGGAGTTTCCCCAACTGCCATGCACTGCACTTTTGGTCAAGCTGGCATCCACTTCCTTGGGTAAAGTTTGGATACCCATACTTTCAGCTAGAGAAGGCGTTACTTTTAAGAATGACAAGGTGTGGCTGTTCTTTACAGGGTTACAGCTTGAGCCATTATTATCCCCTCCCTTGTTATTCAACAGTAGCCAGCCTGTTTCACCTCACTTCCCCTCAGGCTACCTTTGCCGGTCTTCATCTAGACAGTTGACAATGGCATTCCGTTGTTCAATAATGGTGACAAGCTCTTGCATCAACACCTTCTCTCTCACTCGGTCATCATCTGTCCAGTCTTTCTCTATTCAATCAAAAAGAGAGAAGGTGGGGAAAACAGTGACAAGAAGATCTTCCATGGGCAAGACAGCCAAACTCCTGCTCTAGCGAATGTCAAGGGAGAGGCATCTGACCCGTGCAACTCCATGCTCCCCAACTACTCCTTCATTAATCATACTATGAAAAGATGGGAGTGCTGTGAAGGTTGAGCATGTTCCAGCCATCCCGGCATGTATCACCAACCACAGAGACAAAACCTGGCCTCTTCATAGTGGTACCACACCACATCAAGAGTATGCTAACTCCGATTAAAATGATCTCAGGTAGGATGGCTAAGTGAGGCCACTACCTGGGATCATGGAGAGTCACTGCCCACGAAAAGAAAGAATACTGAGGTGGACAGTCTAACCATCCAATTCGGTATACAAGATAACTTCCTAGCTTCCTGGTTTGTAGCCTTTGTTGTTTGAGGCTGATGGTTATAATCAAAGGGTCTGCTTGACAAATGATCTACTGTGGCTCAACACACATTTCATTGTGCATGCAGATTGTTAAGTGCTCTTCTATACTTTTTTATTGTCCATTCATGCTTTGAGTCTATTCTAGGAGCTTCCCTCTTATTGGGATTCTCATTCATTTGAGAAGGGAATGCCATACAGAGGGTGCTAGGAGTGGAAAAGAGACTCCTTTTATTGAACACTGCACCCTGCTGGCAGTCAAGGTGAGCTGAAGCAAGCGCGTGCGCGCACACACACACACACACACACATGCGCGCACACACACACACATGCGCGCGCGCACACACACACACACACACACACCAGCAAGAAATACTGTCACTGCAGACAAGTCCTCCACAACACAGCACACTCTAGATATATAGGTTCATACACCATTTGTTATACAGGCTGGGGATGGTGGTGGTTACAGTGCAACACACCTGGAAGGTGACATGTTAGGGAAGGATGGTGTAGTATCTTAAAAGAAGGGCTGCAGCTCAATGCTGTAACAGAAGCTTTAATCCACAATTTTGAGGATGTGTATTTTCCATTAAAAAGACATGGTACCATGCTCTGGGAAAAGCTTCTGCTGCAGACCCCACACCACTGTTGCTGATCAGAATTGGGAACACATTCTGTACAGAATAGTGAGTCTAGACTGAGCATTTTGGGCTGGCTTGTTGAATCATATATGCATGGATCCCTAAGAAAATGTTATATTTCACATGCAGACAGGCCCAGGCACTTTCAGTGCCCTGGAGAGGGGAAGCAGGAGGCAGCATTATCTCAGTTTTCTGTTCTGTAGGGAAACAAGTAGCTGCAAATGGCTAGCATAAGGCAGCTTCATAATATGGTTATATACAATGTGAAAAGAAAGCCTTTTGGCTCTAGGTCAGGGGTCTCCAAACTTTTCAGCGGGAGGGCCACATCATATGTGTTCCACATTTTTGAGGGCCAAAGGAATACATGTGCATGCCCACCTGTGCACATGCCTGCCCACTGGGCTGGATAAAAGTCAAGGTGGGTCGGATGTGGCCCACAGCCATAATTTGGAGACCCCTGCTCTAGTTGGTATTTCGCTTGCACTAAATATAGTTTCATGCTAAGTTTCTTGAAATACTCTGTAAAGTCAGTAACTATTACTTTTCCCATAACACAGGTGAAAAGAAAGAGAGAGAGAGAGAGAGTAGTTTGCCTAAGGGCGTATATGGATACCTAGAGCCTTCCTGATATAAAATTGAAGTCAGAGTCATCTTCCTGTGATGCTCAGCTATGGTAGTTCTCTAAACACTCACTCCACCTTTTCTTTAAAAACACACGCACGCACGCACGCACGCGCGCGCGCACACACACACACACACACACACACACACACACACACACACACAATTAAAAAGATTTAAACATCTTATTATCAAAAGCACTTTATGGACTGTGTATCCTAAAAACGCAAAAGAATTCTAAACAGAACTCTGGAGGACTGCCTGTCAGATCTCATGGATGGCACGACGACAAGTATTCCCTTTAAATAAATGTTTTAAATGATCTAGTAAGTTATTTTCAAATGCTTTAGCACAAGTCACTTTAAAGCCTGATAGGAATACACCTATAATGAAAAGACTTACCAGGTTTATTGAGAAGGCATCGCAATTCATACTCGACATCAGCCTGACGCTGCTCTAGGTTTTGTTGCTTAAAACTAAAAAGAGAGAAGCCAAGTATTATTTCATTTCATTGTTAATTAAGTGTTTATGGAACTCCCTTAAGAACACTTAGGAACAGCTCTGCTGTATCAGACTAAAGTCCTATTGAGTGTGGGTTTCTATTTCTCACAGTAGCCAACCAGCTGCCTATAGGAAGCTCATAAGCAAGACAACGTAGCAAAACCCTCCGGCTCGCATTCCCTCATAACCCATATTCACTTCCAAGGACCATGCAGTCATCTCAGGGTAGTTATAAACCACCAGCAAGGCTATTGTGGTGGGATGAGCAGGGACGACACTGAGCAAGGCAAGGTTTCTTCTGGAGAACATTTTTTCAGGGATCAATCTGAATTATCAATGCCCTTGAAATCCAGCTGCAGACTGAATAGCCTTTATCTAATAAAAGGGGCTTGAACAATAATAGTGAACAGGTGCGCTGCTGAGGGACGGGTGGTCACTGCCTCTCTCAACAAGGAACCTGCAGTGGTTCTCAAACTGGGATCCCCAGGTGTACTTGTACTACAATTCCCAGAAGCCATCACCTCTTGCTGCACTGGCCAGGATTTCTGGGAGTAGCAATCCAAGAACATCTGGAACTCCCTGCCCTAGAGAACATTGGAGCCTTCTCTTGTATCCTATTCAAACTAAGGGGGGAGGGGTATTTCAGGTGAAGGGAAACGTAACTTTTTAGACAGCTCAAAAAATGAACACCTTCCTCACTTTCCCCAGTTCAGCTACAACTGCTCGCCTCCAAGGAGTGCATGTTTCCACTGCACAAGTAAACAGGCATTCTTACAGATGCCTGCATGGTTACACTGTCCACCAGCAACACTGTGGGATTCTCGGTTATTCGAAACATGGAAAAATCCAGGTCAAGCTCATTTTGGAAGGTTGACAGATCTTCCTTGAAGGATATATCCCTCATGTCCTGCTTGTGAACTTCCCAGAGGCATCTTGCTGCCCACTTGTCAGAAAAGAAAGCCGGATTAGATAAGCCTCTGGATTGATTGAGCAGAGTTCTTCTCATGCATTCGCTTGTTTGGGCTGATCTTTGGGTCACTGGTAAGCCTGCAGAGGCTGGAGACATTTCAGTGCTCTTACCCCTTCAGATGGCCTTCATGAGAGCTGTTGCCTGGCAAGGGAAGGCCACTTTCACCACAGGCTGTATAGAATCCAGCCACTCCCACTCACTTTGGGAGCTGGTGCCTGGTGCAGCCTCAGCAAAGAGCAAGGACAAAGGCAGAAAATACTGCAGGAACAATTCTGAATAACACCGCCAAGAGAATTCTGGCAGCTGTACTCTTTGAGCACCTTCTGGGACTATAATGTAGGATACAAGTGTTCTAAACAAATAAGTGTAGGGCAGTCTCCCTGCTGCCCCACCCCACAACACTTTCATGGGGCACTGAGCCTTTGTTCCCTGTCCTGAGACACCCATATGGAACAGACTACCTGTCTGTGATAAAATCCAAAGTATGTTTACCCTACAGTAGGTCTTGCAAAGATTAATGAGATTTACTTAGTTCTTTGCACTCACATATAGATGAGTTCAGACTCCCGACGCACCAGCATGTGTTTCTCGTGGATGAGCTTAAACCAGTCTACCAGCAGACCATCTTCAGGGACATCTGCCGGACACAGAGACAGGGAGAGCTCAGAAACACAGGAAGGGAAAACAGCCACATTCTTTCACATATAAAGGATGCCAAAGGCAGCTGGGGCATTTCTGACCGTAACAGCACTTGTTTTAGGGCAGCTGAGACACAAAAGTGTCATTTTTGGAGCAAAGATGCAAAAAGAACATAGCAGCATTTCTTTAACTGCCAGTTTCTCCACTGGCAGGCAGGCTGGATAGCTCAGTGAGTTCGCCATCTGGCTGCAGAGCAAGAGGTTGGGAGATCAGTTCCTCACTGTGAAAAACCAACCACTGTGCCCTTGGGCAAGCTGTGCAGTCCCAGGATTCCCCCAGAAGGAGGGAACAGCAAACCACTTCTGAGTACTCCCTATCTAGAAAACCCTGAAAAGAGTTATCATATATCAGAACTGACTTGATGGCACACATTATTATCTCTACCTTCATGGCCATGCACACACTTCTCTTCAAAATGCTAGGTACAAGGCTCCAAGAAATTCAAACAACATGTCTTCATCCTTTCCACACTAAGCACCCCCTTCTTGTTTTGTCTTTGCGGTGAACACAGACACTGTCTCCTCCACAAGTTCTAGTTGATTCTATACCAATCCACGCACTGGTGTAGGGACAACTAAACAAACTACTGGCATTCCACAGGCTTGTGTATTGTTACGTATAGACTGACTCTCTTGGCTTGTTTTTTTTCCAGAGTTATAAACTGCAAATGAACCATGGCTTTATAACCATATTTTTGGGAGGAAGAGAAGAGCCAGAGATCCTGGTTCACATGTCCTAATTAAGACAATGGAAGATGTGTGGTTTATTTGGCTTTTCCTACTTGCAGAAAGAGCCAAGAGGAAGCAACTGGGTAGCATGCAAAGGCTTCCTTCTTTGCTTCTTTCCTTCCCCTATAAGGCAGGAAAACAAGGAATTCCATCTTGCATATCCTTTCACTTCACAGCAGTCTAATGCCTTTACAGCTACTGGACCTTTTCACCTGGTATATTTGAATATTTTCCCCAACCAACATGATAGCTCAGGGCAGTACCAAGATATTTTGATGCATGAGGTAAAGGAACAAAGAGTACCCCTTCCAATGGAGTAAAGATGCAAAATATTCAACAGCCAGCCAAATTATTTTGACAGGTAGTAATAAAAATCCCTCAAACACCTCTTCCCATTCTTGTCAGTCAAAAAAACAGTAACAAATAATTAAGTTTGCTGCCATTTCATGATAGCCAAAATTTGCTGCACAAGGCAGGCATTTCACTCAGCTTGATAAAAGGGTTGGCTCTGCTCTCAGATCTTTCTCTGGCGTTACCACTAGCTCCAGATGCTCAGGTGCAGCCTTCATCCTTCCATACAGTAATACACAATTGTATATGCAGAGCATTTAAAATGTTACTGTACATGCATGACTTTTACCCTACACATAGATGTAGAATGAGTTTTAAAAAGCAATAGCGTCAAGCAATAACAGTCAGCCATGGGGTCCTTACTCAAGACTGAGTGGCAACCAGAGAGAAACACTGGCTTGGTGGGCAGTTTAATTAATACTGCTTTACGTCCAAAGGCAGTATTTTCATTTTGACGCAGATGTCCCCACACCTACCATTTCCCATGCTACGAAGTTTTCTTTCCAGCTCAACACCTCGGTGCTCTAGTTCATCCAGTTGCTGCTCAATACTATCCATCTCACCATAGATATCCTCCACTGGGACATACTGGTCTGACTGTACCTGAAAAAAGGCGAAGGAGTAACTTCCGTTTGCATGTTTGATATAAACCAGTCACGGTTCCTGGAAAAGACCAATCCAAGAGTATTTCCCACATAATGTGTCAATTTACTTGCACTGTGTGTCCTAGTTACCTTCCGTTTGATCAATGGAAAACCATGTCCTGGAGCAGGAGGCCTTGCTGGCTTGGGTCCCTTTGGAGTTTTCTTCACAGTGGGTGAAGCTACTGGTGAAGGTTTCCGGTTGAAGGGATTCTCTTTACAGGATGACTGGAGATAAACACGCAGAACAGAACACTTAAAATGTATTCCGACATTCATGTATGGCCCTGACTACCACTTGATCTCAACCCTTATGGCAACGCGGGCTTCAGATCAGTGTTAAAGCACATCTTTTGCACCCAGATGGGGTTAGGAAAGGAAGTGGCAGAGCTGCTGCAGTCCGTGTTGACAGTGCTGGACCAGTGGTTTCACATGGTAGAAGGCAAAGTCTTCATTTCTGATAGGAAACCTTCTGACTGGAGCTATGCCTCAGCTTCAGCAGATGAAAAAGATCAGGGATTCTTTTAGGACTGTGCATGGGATGAGATTAATCAATAAGAGAGATGAGGCGATGCATATGCAGTCAAAAAGGTCAGGGACACACTGAATGATATGGCAGCCATCCTGATCGCTTTCAGGAACTAGATATGCACTCATCAATGAAGTACTGTTTTAGTGTGACTGAAGATGCACAACTTGCAGCTGGCAAATCATATCCTCTGCTCCCTGTTTGGTCCCCAAAGCCAGTGAAACCCCATCCATTTCCTCCCATAATCCAGATGATTAGCTAGGCTTCTGGTGGAAAATGCCATTTCCTAGCCTTCCAGGTCATAGTTTTTCTACTACTAGAAATGGTAGTGAAAAAGTGACTGCACTGGAGGAAGGTGCAGGCTTTAACAGCACCTCCAAATGATTCCTGAACACTCATGTTGGTGCATGTCCAAAAAGGCACCATCTTTGCCTCAGGTAGCAAAGTGCCTTAAGCAAGGCCTGGCCAGTGGATCTGAAGTCCTCTGCCAGCCTGTATAACAAGTGCTTCAACTTGGAGGATACGATTTGTTTTTATTTGTCCATTACAAAAAGAAGCAGTATATAACATAACCTGTGGGTGGCACTAGAGCTAAGCAGATGGCAGGCCAAAAAGGTGACAAAAGAAAATCATTTAAAAGAACTATAATAGGATGGAGGAGCTTATGACTCTCCAGAGGTGTCAGACAACACCCACAGTCTCTTACGACTGACTGTGCCGACTCTTGACTTCTGTAGAATGAAGTCAAGGCATCTTGACCAGAAAAGGTTCCCCGAACCTGACATGTGGGCCACAACAGGGTCTCCAGATTCCATATAAGGTTTTAGGCTACCTTTTCAGGGATGGCAAATGAGGGGGAAAAAAACCTTGCAGAGGATGTGCATAAGGACAACAGACAGTCAGAGCCCATCACCAGAATCTGAGAAAGCAGATCCAACCTACTTTTGGCTGAGCTTTGGGTGAAGGAGAGTTCTTGTCAGCCCCACCACTCAGATCTGAAACCAAGACAATAGGAGTGGGAGTAGAACCAGCTGGAAGCTTGGGAGAAATCTCTCCTGAGCTGTTTTCCAAGGTCCCAGCCGAGCAGCTTCTGGGAGTCTGTAAGCATCCACCCTGCACCTCACCGCCCAAATCACTGGATGATGAGAAGAAAGGGACTGCAGAGCAACTGGGCAGAACTGTGGATCCGCCATTGGCAGAGATGTCGGCAACTGGGGGTTCTGAGCTGGAGGTGCTGGACATGGATGGCGCATGGACCATGGGCTCAGAGGAGCTCTTGGGCACAGAGGCCTCCTCCAGGTTGACCGCTGCCTTCGCCAAACACTCTGATGTGATGCTCTCCAAGCTGAGGGCAGGGGACGGAGTAGTGGAAGAGGGCTCAGAGCGGGACAGCCTGGAGATCGAATGGTGAGCTGCAAATGACACAGAATAACACAAGTGAGAGACTGTATGTGGCAAATGCTCCTGTGGAAAAAAAATCCTTTTTCAGCCAGGGATGCTGAAATACTGAAGCTGCTTGGTTTGTTCCTTTGGACACACTAGACCCTACCTCAAGACCATCTCCCCACTATAAATCTCAAAGCCAACCTTCCAACATCCGGTGCTTGGCAGATCTTTTGCATCATACTCTTCGCCACATCGCGTGTGGGCAGTAGTCAGGATTGATGGACGCTGCCATTCAAACATGTGGAGAGTGCCTGATTGGAGGCTGCTGCTGTAAGCCATCAAAAATCAATGGCTGTATCCAAAGTACCCTCTAATTTTCAGCGTCACTGGGTGGTGCTCTGCCTCTTGCTTGTGCAACTTCACCCCTCTGTGTGTGTGTGTGTGTGTGACTCCACCACCCACGCATGCAGGGTTCCATTGCAACTGGAAGCTAACGCGATTGCTGTGTGGAGAAGGAGGACAGTTGCACACAAGGAGGAGCAGACATGCATCTGCTCATGCCCAGTTTAGAGGGAATCTTGGCTGTATCCTACTGCGGGTGCCAATTAGAGCAGAAGCACTGACTCAACAGGATTTACTTAAGTGTTAAACTGTTGTTCCATTAATGGGTCTACTCCCCGGCTGAGACTAGCAATAAAATACTGTCCAATGTGTTATAAAAAGAGAGTAACATGTGCAAAAAGAAAAATAGCAGGTCATTGTTTCCGAGCATACTGCACAGAAATCAGCCTGGGTTTGAGCCTGGATAATCTTTCCAACAGTGTTTGGGGGCCTAGTGAACTACCCACTGGCTTTGGTAGCCAGATGGGCGGTATAAAAATTCAATAGATAAATAAATAAAAATAAAAGCCAGGCAAAGGAAGAGAAACCATAAACTTTAAGATTTCCAGACCCTAAACGTTCCCCACAGAGACATGAGAACAGAAATCAGAAGCGTACGAGGGAGGATTTCAGCAATAAATATCCGCCAGTAACTTAATCCATCAAGAGAAGACCAAGGCGCAGCATAAGCATACTGCCTGCGCCTGCTGAAGGAATCGGAAGGGTCAGAATTGATAATGGTCAATTTTATTGCAAGAAGAGGTAACTTGTGTGATGCCTCATACATGGCTGGGACTGCTGATTTGTTTCCCAGCTAAAGACAAGATGGAGAGACTCACCAAGTGGGGAGGCGTTCGGGGCCTTTGGGGCTGGACGTTTCTTTGTCTTGGGGCTGCTCGTGGGAGTGATGCCATACCAGGGATGTGCAGTCTTTGGGGCGCCCTCACTCTCACTCAACTCTGGTGTTGAGTTGTTTTGTGCCGTGACTGATTCCAATTCCTCCTCTTCATCCTCAAAGGGATTATAGGGCTTTGGCTCCCTTGGAGTGGGTCTTCCTTCGCCGCCACTTGCCTTCCCTTCTTCTTCTCCACCCTCATCCATTCCTGAAGCCTTTGGTGGACTTTCCTTGCTACTGCCTGGTGGGGGAGGAGCAGGCTTTTTCTTGGGCTCCCCCTGGACCAATGCAATCCAGGGAGGATCTTTTGGTTTGGGTAACTCACCAATTCTAGTGAAAGGAAGGAAGAAAAGAGGACAAGGCATGACACCAGATCAAGCTGAGAACTGGAATCCCAGCAAACAGAAATTCCTCCCCACACAAACAGGGCGATGCTCCCATGTTCTATTCTCAACAGAACAGAAGATGCACACGCTACGTCTTCTTCATCTGGGCCACTCAAACATGAGAAATGGTAACTATTACAAATATCATCATTCCTAATCTCAATGGCTCTTTGCTTTTAAAAATAAAATATAACTCCCCTCCCAATTTCTGAAGTCAGTCAGGAAATGTGCACGAAATGCCTGGAAAATAATAATAGGAATATTACCAACAGGTTTATTAGATATGTTTGTCCTTAAGATGACACAAAGTGCTGTTTTTGTTATTTCAGTAAATTATGATCGCTATCACTCTGGAAATTATTATGTGTATCCAACAATGGATTAACATGTGGGTGAAAAAAAATATTTATATACTATTAATTGCAGCGTGGTATTTTCATATGAATTTCACAGATTAGGAAGCTACAGTGTGTGGTTATTTCAGTCTCCACCTGTTTCCTGTTGTTTCTAAATGGTATATATAGGGGTGAGTTGACTGTCTGTTTGCTGGAATTGAATGGATTGAATGACAGGAAAGCGCCAAACAAGTACCAGGACCTGAACACCCTGTGTAGCAATATGAAGTGGAAACTGAGCTGAGAGAGGGATGCTTTTTTTGAGGGGGGGGGATTACACCATGTGACTCTGTGAACCTTCTTCCCATGTCTTATGTGGGTCTGAGACACCAACAGAACTCTCCACTCAACAGATGGGGGGAACAACCTTAGAACAGCAAGCTGGGGAAAAAACCTGTGTCTTATCCTTTCAAAAAACACACAGCCAAATCAGAATATAGATCAATCGTCTTGGACAGAAAGAAAAAAAGAGATGAACTGGAGTCTTCAACACTGGCTTCCCTGTCTCGGTTCTGTTTGTGATCAAAAGGACATACCGGTCTGAAGATGTGGGTCTCACTCTGGGCTTCGGAACTGGAAGGCAGGGCTCAGGAGGCCTACCTGATGCAGAAATTAAAGAAGCAAAACAACAGATGTCTGTTAAGAAGAGAATCTTTCCAAATCCATTATAACCATGAGCCGTTTACTTTTTTAAACGCTTTATATTTATAGGTGAATGCTTGACTCTGTGGATCTGTGGAGTGTTTTTCAATCTATTTATAGGTGAATGCTTGACTCTGTGGAACTGTGGAGTGTTTTCCAATCCTTCTCTAATTAGGAGGATGGTCTCCTAGTGCCAAAGATCAGGGCCACAATAGATCTCATTTCTCAGGAGGATGGTCTCCTAGTGCCAAAGATCAGGGCCACAATAGATCTCATTTCCCTAGCTATAATTCTCTGACCCAGCCACAGAGCACCCATTTGCAACCTCCATCCCTTTCTTTCCATCCATTCCATTGGCTCAACCTTCTACCATGCTTACACTAGTTGCAGGTAAGCTCTGACATCATGCAAGTGAGAGGCTGGGCCGGGAGAAGTGAGACAGATCATTCTCCCAGCTAGCCATATTGGTTTCCATATCAGCCAAAGCACAGGAAACGTAAGGTTTCCTGTACAACCAAAATGGAAACACAGTAGGCTGGCAATTGGAAGGTCAGAGAGCTTAGTCCAGTTTGTTTGGTAGAAAGCCATTTTAAATTATTCCACTAGTCTGTGAGACACTACTTGTGATTCCAACGGTAGGGAAATATAACACTCTAGATTAGGAATGGACTGCATGCAGCCCCTTATAGCTATTTTTGCATCCCCTGAATATTCCCCCATAGGGAAAAAAGATCCATAAAAAAGGTCATTTCCTGCTGCCGAGGCCCTCTGGGAGTAGTGTGTTTGTAATAAAATAAGATGCACCCAAAACCCAAACCCACAAAAATAGAACTGCAATATCCAGGATGATTTGGTCTTGATTTTTCTCCCTATATTTTCTACTTTTCCTTTGCTAGGGGCTAGTACAGACTCTGGCAGAGGAAAATTGGCTCTCTGATTCTGAAGTTGCCTGTCCCCACATCCAGACATTGTTAGATAACTAATCCCATCATCCTGAGCAGCATAGCCAAAGGTGAGAGCTAACAGGGGCTGCTGCCCAACCACTTCTGTAGGGGCAAATATTTCCTAGTCTTGCCTCAGTCAAAAATACCTTAACTTGGAAGACAAAGTGCTGTACAACCAATGAATGTACAGTGGTGCCTCACATTACGATGTTAATTCGTTCCAGCGAAATCGCTGTAGAACGGAAACATCGTAAAGCAAAATTAAAAAGCCCATAGAAACGCATTAAAACCCGATTAATGCGTTCCTATGGGCTTGAAACTCACCGTCCAGCGAAGATCCTCCATAGCGCGGCCATTTTCGCTGCCCGTGCAGCGAGGAATCCGTCCCAGAAAACAGCGGGCGGCCATTTTTTAACCCGGTGGCCATTTTGAAACCGCCAATCAGCTGTAGAAAAATCATCGTTTTGCGAGAATCGGTTCCCAAAGCAAGGAACCGATCATCGCAAAGCGAAAAAAACCCACAGGAAACATCGTTTTGTGATCGCTTTTGCGATTGCAAGAACTTCATCGTTATGCGATTTCATCATAAAACAGAGCGCTCGTCTTGTGAGGCACCACTGTACACGTGCTTTTAGTAATTGTATGTGCAGTATTGGTGCTCTGCTAGCATAGAATTTGGTTATCTTGACACAGAAGGAATTTGAGAGTGGCATGCAAGAATGCATATAAACCAAGCTAGGGAATGTTTTGCCTAAGGCATGGTTCTGTTTGAGCTGCTTGTGAATTAAGTCAACCAGGCCCCAGTCAGACTAAGGGGTGCAAAACTAGCTGGAAGCTGCTTGTGAAAAGGAGGCAAGAATATTTGGGGAAACTCCCACACTATAGATGTTACTGTGGTGAATGGATATGCAACACTTGACCCATTTTGAATACAAATACCAGGGCGGGGAGAGAATGAGGATCCCTAGGCAAAAATTCTTTCTTTTTATCATTCAAATCTGTCGAGAGGGAACTTGTGGCCCTCTAGACGTTAATGAATTATGAATATCATCATGTCGTATTATTGGTCAGGCTGCCTGGGCCTGATTAGAACTGGAGTCCAATAGCATCTGCACTGTAACAGGACCCTCAGCCCTGATTAAATTGTACTCTTTTGCACAAAAATGCTGAAGTCCAAAGTTCCTGGTTCTGTTTGAGCTGCTTGTGAATTAAGTCAGCCAGGCCCCAGTCAGACTAAGGGATGTAAAACTAGCTGGAAGCTGTTGTGAAAAGGAGGCAAGAATATCTGGGGAAACTCCCACACTATAGATGTTACCGTGGTGAATGGATATACAACACTTGACACATTTTGAATACAAACACCAGGGCGGGGAGAGAATGGGGATCCCTAGGCAAAAATTCTTTCCTTTTATCATTCAAGTCTGTCGAGAGGGAACCTGTGGCCCTCTAGACGTTAATGAATTATGAATATCATCATGTCGTATTATTGGTCAGGCTGCCTGGGCCTGATTAGAACTGGAGTCCAATAGCGTCTGCACTGTAACAGGACCCTCAGACGGGATTAAAATTGTACTCTTTTGCACAAAAATGCTGCAAAGTTCCTTTTTTTTTTTTACCAGCTTCCTCTATTTACAGCAATATTTGGTGGCCACATTTGCTTGGCGCACTGTATTCATATACTAACAGGACCCTCAGCCCTGATTAAATTGTACTCTTTTGCACAAAAATGCTGAAGTCCAAAGTTCCTTTTTTTTTTACCAGCTTCCTCTATTTACAGCAATATTTGGTGGCCACATTTGCTTGGCGTATTCTATTCATATGTAAGTACTTCTCTAGTAATATGTGTCTGGAGTTCTTTTCCCCCCTTCTACAGTACCTATTAAACAAAAAGGCTCAGGGCTCAGCAAGAAATGGTGGCTTCAGGGCACTCTCTGGCGTGCCCACTTGACAGATGAGGGGGCAAGTTCTGAGCTGTGTATGTAGCTGTGCATCCCACTCCCATCTCCCCGCCACATCAAATGTCTAATTTATAAAAAAAACCTTCAAGGATATGCAGACAATTTTGTTGTTTTCTCCTCCTTCTCCACTAATTTAGGTGGGGGAGAGGGATTCAAAACCAGAAGTGATTTCCAGCTGTGGAACTTGATGACATTTTCTCATTCTCTCAGAAGGCATGAGGAGACTTTCTGTCTGTCTGTCTGTCTGTCTGTCTGTCTGTCTGCACACACACACACACACACTGTATTAAAAAGGCAAAATGGAGCAGCCCTCTACAGGCAAGGCCTGGGTACATGTGGCCTGGACGTCCCCCTCCTCTAAGGAAAAGGATAGGCAAGGTGGGGTAGCCTTTTTTGGTGATGGCCCCCTGCCCTTCCAACACCCAACACACCGTCCATCAAAAGACTTTTCAGCACAAGGTTTTTAATCTCAGGCATTTTAGGAACAGTTTTAGTATCTCACAATTAGTTCTGCCTCTACCCTAGGTCTCCGGCTGTTTCAAGGCGGCTGTCAACCTGGAGGAGGCCTCTGTGCCCAAGAGCTCCTCTGAGCCCATGGTCCATGCACCACTGGCCTTGGCTGGGGATAATGGTAGCTGTGATCAAAATACACAGGGGAACCCAATGTTGGGAAAGGCTTTTTGAATCATTGGTTGTTGTGGGTTTTTCGGGCTCTTAGGCTGTGTTCTGAAGGTTGTTCTTCCTAACGTTTCGCCAGTCTCTGTGGCCGGCATCTTCAGAGGACAGCACTCTGTGCTCTGGATTTTTGAACCACAAGATTTTTGTACTGTTTTGGACCTTTCTACTGTTTTATCTGCTGCGGTTTCACTTTTGGTTTTATACTTTTCTTAAAAAAAGAAAACAACTGCCACTGATGGGTGCAGTTTTATCTTGTTCTGTATTCCTGTCATTCTTTTACTGCTAACATATATTTTATGTTGTTAATTTGGTCGTACACCATCCCAGTGAACTTAGGTTACTGGACAGTCTAGGAATTTTAAGAAAGGGGGATAATGCAGAGGGTGGGGGTGAGGGCAGAGAAAGATTCCCAAGACAAGAATCTGGAAAAGTTACTTTTTTGCACTAGGGTTGGGCATGGTGGCTGTAGCATACTGGCTCCTGTCATCCCCCAAAAAATAACTTCCCCAATGTCTGTATCTGTGTGAGAGATATTGCCACTTAGAGTAAGCAGTCTTGGGTTTCACAGAACATTGATCACCACCAATATACAGATATATTTTTCAGGAGAAAACAGTCTTGTCATGATGGCCATGCCAATCTCCAAAAAGTGTAACATCTATTTAAAATACACGTGGCCACATCTGGCTTTTGCATCAGGCTGGTGTCAGTCCAATGCCATGAAGAAGAAAAAAATAGATCAGTTCCCTGAACAACTCGTACTCACGTTTCCTTACCATTGACCAGGCTGGATCCTGGCTCACTGGAGCTCTCGCTGGACACACTAGCTCGGGGCTTTGGAACAGGGTGGGAGCTGGGTGGTGAGAGGGTTGTGTTGTCTGTACTTTTTCGGGGAGCAGGAGTGGGGCGGGCCTCCTTGAGCTGCTCCTGTCGCACGCTCGCTTTCTCTTGGATGAGCAAGGAGGGTTTGGCTGGAAGAGGGGGCCTGGGAGGCATCTGGCAGCAAAGCTCTGAGACGGGAGTGGAAGTGAGCGTTTCATTCTTTGGCTGGCCAAGAGGCACCTCCACCTCAGTCTTTGCCTCTCCTCTATCATCTATTTCCCTCCCAGTTTTGTCCAGCTTTTCTGCGGCTGAAGGGCAACTCTCTGGTACTCCGTTCTCTTCCTCCACACCCGGACTCACTATCCCAGGGTCTCTGCTTTCTGCCACAGGCTGAAGAACTGGACTTGGCCTGCGCTCAGTTCTCCCACATAGGCCCAGCTTGCCGCGATGTTGAGTGCACACAAAAGTGCCCGCTTCAGGGCCAGGCTTGTAGGACCCAGGAAGGAGGGTGCTGGAGCATTCCCTACACCTGCCAGGAGTGCAAAAGAGAGCATGTTATCTCAAAGGTGGCCGGCATCTTCAGAGTTGGGGGTGTCAGCCTAAGCTTGGGGGTGTCACTTTTTTGGACTAAAGGTCCCATAATCCTCCAGCCATTGCTGGGGGGAGTCTGGGAATTTTAATCCAAAAAATAATATTTCTAAGCTCTGACTGAGACTTTGCAATCACAGGAATACTTAGAACAACAAGGTTTGCTAAAGGGCTCATGGCAAAATCCGAGCAAAGTCATGAAGCTTCTCCACTTCTTTGTTTCTCTCAGTTCCCTTGTTCCCATTTGTAAAATTGCAAATGAACCCCAAGTGGGAGAAGGGCCACCAAATGGCATCAGTGGCAGAAGATCAGCCACTTCCCAAGTACTGCAAGGCCAGAGCCGAAGGAAGACTGGCAGCTTTTCCTCTGTGGGGGATATTCCTTGTTATTTTCACTACGACAGAAACCCACAGGAAGGAGAGCACTTGTGAAGCCCCTAGGCTAATGTGGGATGATCAGGGATCCGGATCTTCTTTGGATCCAGCAGATCAAAGGCCAGCCCCATTCACTGGAATACCTCATTTATGGGCTTACTTTCAGGGGGGGAAACACCCTCAGAGCTATCTATAGGGTTGCCACTGAAATTTTATTTTTCATTTCCCTGACTTTCCTTGACCACCATTTGTCAAGTTCCCTGACCACCATTCAAATATAACCAGAAGTTAAAACACAAATAGGCCGTGTTGCATTAATGCAAGTCTTAATGGCTTTACTATCTGAACTTGTACTTTGCTTTGAACCTAAACATATTGTGATGGACTGTTGACTTGATTTAATTTTCAGGTTCTTCTGATATAATGGTCCTTGTGCATGAGACTCCACAGCTCTAATCCCCATATTACTCAGTTCAAAGGTTTTGTAGCACACATTACAATAACCTTTGCATTTGACTCCAGCAACTGGTGATAACTACTGCGTATTAAAAACTGTCCTCTTAGAAGCCATCTTCAAAATGTAGTTTCAGATACAGCCGTACACAAAACCATCTGCTTGATACCAAGATGTTAGCAGATTTGTTTTCTGGCAAGTAGAAGCTTTTTATTAAATTTTAAAACTTTTTTTTAAAAGCTGGGAAAGTTTCACTTTCTGGCCCAGAAAGTGTAATGAGCAGATCAGCAGCAAGAAAGGAGGTCGAGTTTAAATGCTTGCAGATCATTTCTGCAGTCTAGAGAAGCAGACAACCCTCATTTGCAACCTTTATGGATGGGAGAAGTCATTGAAGAGGGTGAGAGAGCTGGTACTCTGTAAACTCCGGCAGGAGCAACCACATTGGGAATAAATTACTTTGCATGGTACAGAATAGAAAGTGCTAGTTGATTGTGAAATCCAACAGTAGCAAAACTCATTTGCAACTCTGTGCTGGGTTTAGCAGGAGACAAAATCTCCATTCCATACACAAGCACATGACCCAAAAACATGCTTATTTTTTTATGTACCGGTAAGTTAAATGCAGTACTAGCAGGTGGGGATGAAAACAGTTAGATGTTTAAAGTTTGTATCTTGCTAAATGTTTAAACTAACCTTGCTTTGCAAATGCTATAGGCAGACTTTGGAAATCATGCAGGGACACATTAGTCCGGTTGCTGGGGATGGAGCTGAGGAAAAGGTGGAGCTGGGAAAGGACATCATTCAGTTTTACTTGTATTCTGCTACGTCTCTCTTCCAGTTGCCACAAGAGCAGATCATGCTCTTGCAGCAGCAGGTCAAAAATCCACAGCTTGAATATATTTTAATCACAATTTCCCTGACTTTCCTTGACTTCAGACCAATTTCCCTGACTTTCCCTGACCAATTTCCATTTCCCTGACTTTCTAGAAAGTGGCAACCCTGTATCTATGTACGTACTGGGGACTTTGGTAGAAAACACAGCACCCCATGAGTAGAACTGTCAACCAGCCAAGTAGCATTTCCATCCCGTCTTAAGCCTGTCTCAACTGCCCTTCAGCAGGGGGTTAACGTTCTTCTTCATTCCTACGTAATTATTCCTGTGCCAAGGTTTCTGGAGCCAGAGACTAGCTCTCTGCATAAAAATATATCCAAAGGCAGATTTGATACATTTTATGTTTCACTTTTTAATGACATCAATAGGCAGGCATAATATGAGCACACATTTTTTCCCCAGAGTGGAAGTGCATAAACTGAAACAATGAAAGCTGGTCTAGAAAGGGTGCCCTTTCCCCAAGAAAACAGATCTGCAATTCAATCCTTCTAGGTCTTTCCCCAAGAAAACAGATCTGCAATTCAGTCCTTCTAGGTCAGGGGTCGCCAACCCCCAGTCTGCGGCCCATTGCTGGTCCATGGCCTGGGCCAGACTGGGCTGCGGAGACAGATCTCCCACCCATCCCCGCACGCACACACTCCCCCCTCGCACAGCCCCTTCACGCATATGCACAACTCCACAAGCACCCCCAGCCCTTTGCACATGCGCCCCCCACCCCTCACATATGTGTGCGAGAACCCCCACAAGCGCCCCCCGCCCCTTCAGGCATGTGTGTGAGGGTGTGTGCGCCCGTGCCCCCCACCCATTCACACGAGCATGGGGGGTGCCCCGCCTTCCCCACACACAGACCCCGTCCTTCCCCAACCAGTCTGCGATGACAAAAAGGTTGGGAACCATTGGTCTAGGTCAGTGGTTCTTAACCTTTTTGAAAGAAACGCCCCCTTGAGCCATTGAGGAAGTTATCATCGCCCCCCTCCCCGCGGTGATATCTTTTATTCATTCATTCATTCATTCATTCATTCATTCATTCAAGTAACACACTTAAATCCAGTGACCCCTGAAATATGCACAACTGCACAAGCACCCCCAGCCCTTTGCACATGTGCCCCCACCCTTCACATATGTGTGTGAGAACCCCCACAAGCGCCCCCCGCCCCTTCAGGCATGTGTGTGAGGGTGCGTGCGCCCGTGCCCCCCACCCATTCACACAAGCATGGGGGGTGCCCCACCTTCCCCGCACACGGATCCCGTCCTTCCCCAACCTTTGCCTGCACCACAAAATGTGGCTAATATGGAAAGCAGGCCACATATTTTGATAACAAAGTATCAGCTGTAACGCAACCAAAACAAAATATAAGGGCAAAATGTCTTCATGATTCAGCATGATAAAAAGACCATGCCTGGTCAGGAAGGCTGGGCCTACAGAGAGAGGTGGACAGTACCTGTTTTCAAGGGACTTGGGTCAGAAAAGCTTACCGGAAGCACTGACGATGGTAGAGTTTTCCATCAGCCAGATAGCGCTGCACCAGGTGAACGTGTTGCTGGCAAGCTGCACATGTGCTGCTAAGCGTGGTACGCTGAGGTTGCTCTGCCAGGTCCTCGGCAACATCATCCTGAGGTAACAAGAAGCTGAGGTAAAAATGCTTCCAAGGTTGGAGTAGTAGCAACACTCATTATTTTTAATCATTGGCTATTCTGGCTAAGGCGAATGGGACCTACAGTCTATCAACATGGCATGGAGGGGAGAGGCATGTTGTCCATTGTTGCCTTAAGCCTTAACAGGCCTCAGTCTTGTACTGCCTTCCCCCACCTGGGGCTCTCCAGATGGTTTGAACTTCAGATCCCTGAATCTCTGACATTTGGTCAGACTGGCTGAAGCCGATAGGCATCAGTCCGAAAACATTTAGAGCACACCAGCGTAGAGAGGCCGGTTGAGTAAAACAGAACCGCAATCCTGACTTCACAAACCAAAGAATACTGAGGCTCTAGTCATGTCATCCCTAACCTTGTGAGCCTCTAGATGTGCCAGATATCAAACTCTGATCATCTCCACTGCCCCTATTTAGCTCTGTGCCATGCCTGTACCATGTATGCACCATGCATGATTTCTAACAACCCCCACATTTTTATAGTTGCAGACAGCACAAACATGATCTTTATCAAGCCCCTAGTGAGCACAAGGGCTGCATTCAGTTTTGTCAGGGACAAACACAACACATGTGGTCAACCCTGCCCACCACACCCTCTCAGATGTTGAACCATTGATTACTGATTGACTGATTGCACTTTCAGATTGCTTTGCTACCTTTATTTCTCTGGGTGGTGTACATTATAAATACAAAATACGAACAGTGAGCTGATGAGGAGAGAGAAGAAATCACACAATCAAAATAAAATCAGCAACACCGTCTGTTTTGAATCACTCTGTTTTGGAGTGTATTAGTTCAGAAGCCAGAACTAGAGGCAGCTTTTAGAGATCTACTGAATTTATGTGCCCTGGTTCTTAGCAGGCTAGGTACCTGGGGTGCTGACGTGGTGGTCTCCAGTACAGCCACAGGCCCCTGAGTAGGCTGTATGGGTGAGGACGCAACCACTGGGCGCTTCATGGGTGGGGGGATCCGAGCTGCAAAGACAGGGGGAAAAAAACAGGATCAACCTATCACAGAACTGGAAATCAGAGAAGAAAAGATGATGTAGAGTGTCCCTGGTTTTTCAAGGCTCAACAGAATGAACTAGCTTCTCACACTTTGAGACTATCCTTACTTTGTTACTACCTTACAGTGGAAGAAACAAAAATTGGGGGCTGGCATGCAAAGATTGCATGCTTTTTCCTCCTCCAAGATTTGTCCTAGTTCTCTCATACTTCAGAGCTCATGTGTTGATCACCTAAATTTGTCTATGCAGTGAGCAGCATAAGAGCATTAAAGCCATAAGGAATTCCAAGCAGAGCCTTAGAAAGTAACTTTTGGAAGACAACATCTGGAATACACATATATTCTGGAAGTTGTCATCCACTTATTTATTCATATTATTTATATGCTGCCTGTCTCCCTATAGGGAACCCAGGAATAATTCAGCCAGCATGGCTGCTGGAATTCTTGAAACTGCAATGTTCTGGGTATTTGCACATTTGGAGAACATACATTTTGAGTCCACCAAGATCTGTATCCTCTAAACTCCGTGCCTCCATTGCAGGGTGCCATCTTCCTGGCTCTGAGCTGGCTTTTTTGATGATGGAATAATCTCTTCATCTCCACTGTAGAATTGACATGTCTTCTCCACAGCATTTTACCCTGTGCTTTCCTTGTTGAGCTTTTGGCACCAGACAAACCCTGTTTCACTCATTCAAGCATTTTAACCTGCTTCTCTGATTATATCTTACAGCTTATGCTCTGATGCTCTATTCTGAAATCTGGAACAGAATAAAACCTGGTTACTGCACTATATTATGTGCCTTTGGAGTGGCTGATTTTCTTGATTTTTGTTGCTGTTATTCTCATGTCTCCTTGACAGCCTAGGCTTCAAGGAGACTTGCCACTGTAAATATCAATCAGTCAATGAATACCCTGCTTAGATCAGCAGTTTAGGTATCTGGTGGCAGAGCCAGAGGTTGGGAGTTCAATTCCACACTGTGCTTGTGTAGCCTTGGGAAAGCTGCACAGTCCCAGGGCAACTCCAGAAGGAAATGGTCAACTATTTTTGAGTTCTCTCTACCTAGAAAACACTGAAAAGGATTGCTATAAGTCAGAATTGATCTGACAGTACATTATTATTACTATTAGGCATCTATGTATCTATTCATAAGAAGCAAGCGTCCATACCTATTGATGGATGCCCCAGCAGCACACCTGAGCTTCCTCAGCTCTGACTGGCACCGCATCCTGGAGCATGAAAGCAGCTGGAGGAATCTCTCCCCCCCCCACACACACACACAGTTTCCTTAACCCAGTGCAAATCAGAGAAGGGCAAATTAGCCAAATCTAAATAAAAAGCAAAACATTTTCCTAAAGGTAAGTCAGAGTTGATGGTATCAAGTAGGGTAGCATCACCATGGAGCTCTCACCTTGGCTGGGGTTATTAAAATAGTTGTAATACTGAGACACATAAGTCATGACACTGAGGCAGTCAGGGACCTTCATGGAGACCATGTCGCTGGGATCCAGCAGAGCAGGGATCCCCAGCTCCTGCTCAGCCACTTCAAATGCCTAAAAAAGGAAAACACTTCAGAAGCCAAAGTTGACATAAACAGACATAAAATCATACATGAACGCGAGAACTTTGGAAAAGTTGCCTTGTTATAGTACATATCCCAGAATCTCCCAGCCAGCATAGAGCTCACCATGCCATCTGCAGAATTCTTAGAATTTGAGACCAAACATTTTATACATTAAAATATAACCATACACATTTTCCAAGCTCTGAAAGTAGCAACAAGGGAAAATTTATAGTGAAAAAGAAGGAACCAATCAGGTTGATGCACACTAGGATCCTGTGACATCGTATCACCTCTTTCCCTTTTGGATACTTTTGAAATGGAAGGATGGTTGTTCTCTTCTAATGTTTGTACACAGTGTTCTTGACAAGTCAGTGCACCTGCCCCAAGATGGCCCTTGGGCAAACCCTCTACTGATCTGGGAAATGGACTTCCTTTAACACTCTTGTGTTGGCTCCATGTCTCAGTGGTATGTCATTTCTACAATCTCCTCCCATCATTTCATTTACCATATACTGTACTGTATAAATAATACAAGAAAACATCCAAATTTGCTCTGAAAATCATCCTCAATTGTTACAGAAAGACATCCCTTCACATATTTTAAAACATGTTCTCCTAGGAGCAGTCTACTGAATAGGAGCAGTCTAAGCTTTTGCTACACTGCAAATCTATACATAGAAATATATTTCCACATATAGATTGCTGCAGTTGGATGAAAACATTTACTCACAAATCAGAAAGCCACTATTTAATCGTTAAAGTGTTGGATCAGGACCAGGGAGATACTGGTTCAAATCCCCATTTAGCCACAAAATCTCACTGGCTGATATGAGGTCAGTCACCAGCTCTCAGCCTGTAGTCAGTATAAAATGGAAAGGAAAATCATGCTCACTGCCTTGAGTTTTTGCTGTTAGGAAATGCAGAACATCATCATAATAAACAGGTCACACAGATTAAAGCAATTATTAAAGAATTGTCTTCCTCTCTGACAACATCCTGCCTTTTCCCCCGATCCTCTTCAGTCCTTTGAGATGTGGCCATGCACCTCAAAACGCCTCCTTTTCCCTCCCACCATCTCAGTTTGTCCAATGGCCCCACAAATTTCTGCAGGGGGGAAAAAAACGCTTTCAGAAAATGTTCCCTCCCACCATCTCAGTTTGTCCAATGACCCCACAAATTTCTGCAGGGGGGGAACACTTTCAGAAAATATTGAGCAAATTAACCCCATTTGAACTGAAAAGTTAGCAGCAATAACCCCACCACCAATGCACGATGAATACAGACAAAATGAAATAACTTCAGCAAGCTGATTTTCTGATTTTTTTTTCCAGTCATGAACAATTAGCAGGAGACAAACTAAAAAAGTGGAATTAAGAGAGATAATAGGTCACATGAGAACAGGGACTATTAGACAGCATGCTGGGCTCTGACCAACTCTCAGCTGCGCCACAGACTCACTCAGCAACCTTCATTGAGTCACCTTCCTTCACAGTTTGAGAATGCTACTGTGATATTAAATCACAGATCATGTTGTGATCAACACATATTGTTTGTTTTTCTTGCTTCAAAGGCAAGATAGCAAAGCAGCCAATATCAAATAAATAAATGCTTCAATCAATAAAATAAAAACCTGGCAAAATATGTATGGAAAGGAAACTGGGAGATATTAAATATACGTGAATAAAAATAACACTATAGGAGAGTGCATCTAGGAGACACCCCATCACAGGTCCACATTCAGGGTGCACATAGTCCCATGTAGCCATGGACAGGATTTCAAACATGGCACAGAAACTACAGTGTCACAATCTTGGTGATGTGGAACACATCAAGGAGACTTCTGAAAGACCTCATGAATGCATGAAAATGGCAACACAACATTTTGCTTTTCCATCAGACTGGAAACACAAGAGTTACCTCAGAACTAGCTCATCCCCAGCCACAACTCTGCAATTACATCAGTGCTACTCTATCCAGCCAAGATTATTATTTACACTTGCTTGCTATCTCAGACTGTCCACAAAGGAAAATCTAAGCATCTTCTTTCACTGCTATAGGTAGGTGTTTCCACTGGGCTGCAGGTTTGCCACCCAATACCAAATCTTCTGCTCTACTACACAGAATCAGGCCCTCTGGGCATTCCTTTTTTTCTTTTTCTTTTTTTGAAAAATAAAAAGCAAGTGAAGAAAAACTTCTTACCCGCTGAATTCATAGCAGAGTCTGAATTGGGAAGTGTGAATTAATCCTCAACCCACCCACGAAAGGCCTGCCAGATTGTTGCACCCCCACTGTCCACCCTTTCCCCAGCTGCTAGAAATTGCTCAGAGAACTAACTGAAGCAACAGATGACCAGAACAGGTTAAATCAGCAAGTACAGAGGATGACTTAAATCAATTATACAGATTAATTCATAAAACCTTTGCTATACTCTTTATTTTCTCCTTCATCTAGGCCTCCCATAAAACATAAATCTCCTATCCTGTATTACTCTCATCTACGTCTCAGAAACATCAAAATGATAGCTCATCACAGTCCACATATCTTGTCCATTAGAGATAACCAGAGGTTGGAAACATTACTTTTTGGACTTTAATTAACTCCCAGAATCCCATGCTGGGGAGCTCCAAATAAAAAATGCACATTTCCAAATACTGCAGATAACTGAGAGCTCCGCTAAGATGCTGGACTCAGTTTAGATCTTGAAAGCCCTAAAAGCCATCTTAGAGGCCACCTGTCTCATTATGAACCTACTTGGCTTCCAAAATCCCAAGAAAAAGCTCTCTTGAGAACACCAACAGTTGCAGAGGTCCATCTAACTGCACATGTCGCTCTCAGATTGTGGAATGCATTCCCACTGGAGGTGCACACTGTGTCCATCCTCACTCCTTTTAGGAAGATTATGAAGGGCTTTTTTCCAGTCCAGCCTTTTAAACTGTTTTGATTATACAATTGTTTTAATAGTTCTTTGTTTTTAATGATGTCCATTAACCACAGTGAATGCTAATTCCAGTGGAAAGGTGGAATAAAAATGCTGCAAGTAAGTAAGATGAAAAAGGAGTATTCTTGTCAGAATTTAAGGACTGAGCTGCAGAACTTGGATAATGACAATGACAACACCAACAACAACAGGGCTTTAAGGGTTCACCCACATGAACACTACAAATTGTCATCTAAGTCAGTGGTCCCCAACCTTGGACTTTCAGATGTTCTTGGACTACAACTCTCAGAAGCCTTCACCATCATCTCTGCTGGCCAGGATTTCTGGGTGTTGAAGTCCAAGAACATCTGGAGGCCCAGGGTTGGGGACCACCAATCTAAGTGATATGTACATTTAGATTATCACAGTCCCTGTGATGACATGCCAGTCCAAGAACAACAGTACAGCATCTAATTTATTGTGCCACATTGATAAGGCATTAATGAGCTGTTAGTCTCGGACTAAAATCCTCCCTTGTTGGAATCATGACCCTTCATTGGATTTTCACAATCCTATCAATCTTACATTAAAGTCAATTCTACATGCTTCAAAAGGACCCACTCTCAAGCGGACATGCACAGCATTTCTGCTTTGCAATGCAGAGGATTTTGCAGTGAATAATTGTTTCCCTTTTTGCTGAGGCTGGAAACTCTGCGACCATAATCCTTGTCCAAGGAGTGGTGTGCCTATATGGAGCATTGGGGTACAGTACAAGAGAAGATGAAATGCACACAACTTTCTGATCAATGCAGAACCAAGTGTGCTGCTCCAAATACATTTTTCTTCTTTTGAAAGGGATCCCATAAAAATCTAGAGTGGTCCTGACCCGACCAGATAGGCGGGATATAAATGAAATAAATAAAATAAAAAATAAAATCTTTTCAAGGGTGAGTTTGATAGGTCTGAGAAAGGGGTGACTATATGGTTGCTGTGCATTTCCTAGCACAAGTCAAAACGTAACAGCATCCAGAAGTTCTGGAGAAGGTATGTTTATTATTCAGTTTCATTAACTGATATGCTTTGCTTAAGGGTATACAGTGTCTGCAAGGGAAGAGGCTGGGAGCACAGTAGATATAGTTGGTTTTGCCCTAGTGACTTATTAGTTCTGCCTCACCAATTACCATTGCTCTTCACACAGTACTCTAAAAATGATTTCCAAAGAAGTAGTCAACTTAGTCTGTTTAGGCATATTGGCAACAATAAAAGGGTAGAGCAGAAGAAAATTTATTATGGTTGTTATGCTGGCCACAAAGACTGGCGAAACGTTAGGAAGAACAACCTTCAGAACATGGCCAAAGAACCCGAAAAACTCACAACAACCATTAGATCCTGGTAGTGAAAGCCTTCGCAAATACAAATTTTATTATTTCAGCATGAGCTTTCTTAGATGAAAATCTACTTCTTCAGACATACATACAGAACTGGTAGCGAAATTTTGGGCGGCATGCTACAGCAGGCAGACGAGATAGCTCAACCCTTAGACCTTGGCCATACATCGCTATATTTGCTGCTTTAGACATTCTTAGCTGTTTTTAGACATTTTACCTTTTGTATGACTATATATGCCACTCTCCTCAACGGTTTACCTTTTATCTTTTAGCAGTTTTACCTTTTATCCTTTTAGCTTTTTACCCTTTTTTATCCTTTATTTTTACCTCTTGTATGACTTTGTAGAACATTCTTGTCTATGAAGTTATGTATTCAATTTTGTATGGCTCGATGCCGTAATAATAAAATGTATGTATGTATGTACTTCTTCAGACACCAGACTTCAGACTGACAAAGAGAATTTGGATCCATGTAACTTCAAACTGAAATATTCTTAAAATATTGGTAGAATTCTACTGGTGTTTCCATAAGGTCTGCATAACATGCTAACTTGACTATGCCACCAGGTGCATGACTAGGCTCACAAGTAAGATGCACCCTGGCACCCCATCAAGCAGCCACAATTAGCCACAGCAAATTACAAAAACCTTACACTAATACCAATAGGATTCTTGTTGGTAGCTTTTGAAAAAGCAGAAGCATCTCAAAAGGCAGAGTGCACAAAATTATCTGTACTTTGAGCATTACAGAAAATGAAACTTAAGACAAATTTGAGAAGAAGTTTGGGATGTAGTTTTCAGATATAGTACTTGGTTGCCGATATTACATTTTCAGACATGTGGAATCATTCTATCACTGCTGAGACTAATCTGAGCCAGGACTGCATCAGAATTAAGCAAAATAATAAAGAACAAGGCAAGGACTCACCAGGCGGTTGTTCTCAAATACATTCTCCTTGGAAAGTGAATTAAAATCCCTGCGAAAAAAACACACACAAAACAAACAAAAACAAAATATAAATATCACAGGAACAGCAGGCAGTATGATCCTACCTCTATCAGATCATGCACAGACATTCCTCATTAGGGAGGTAGTTCAAAGTGTCCCCCTCTCCTTCCTTCCTTCCTTCTCAGCAGATAATCTTTATAGTTCAGCAATCCTTGACACTAACAGACAGGAAAAGTTATGGATTTTCCAAAAATACAAAAAGCAGAAAATTATGACTATAAAGGAACCTCAGTTACAGGACCACCAATGATAAAAATGGCAGAGATGCTTTCAGTGAGAAACTGCTGCTTCACAAAGATACCATTCTACACCACGTTCTCAAATAATGTCTGTGCAAGTTACTTAGGAAAATTTCCAATGAAGTAGGTTCAAAGCCCAGGTCAGTTCACAAAATATTTCTGTCAAATGAGGGATATAGTAGGAGCAAAGGAGTCAAAGATAAAGCCTATCTAGTCCATTCTGACTATCTATTTTGTTCCCACAGTGTCCTACCCTATACCTCTGGGAAGCACATAAACAGAACATGAGGGCAAAAGCTCCCTGTAGTCATGCTTCCAAGCCATTGATATCCAGAGCAGTAGTGCCTTTGATCAGGGTGGATTTGATTTAAGTCAAATTGATTTAAATCATGATCTTAAAAAATCATGATTTAAATGTTTAAAAATTGTGGGTTTTGACGCTTTAAATTATTTTTTTTAATTCAACTATGATTTAAATCTATTTGATTTTTTTTAAAAAAAGGTCATTAATTTTTATCCACCCTGCTATGACAAGAGGACAGGGAGGGGACAGACAGCTGTCAAAAAGTAACAGCCAATGTTCATAAAAAATCTTCACAGCTTGTTGTGTGGAGAGGTGTCAACAAGCTGTGACATGGTCTACAAATGCTTGTGCTGTTAGACATGCATCGTGATAGGTTATGATGGCATGCGTGCACTGCAGCTGTCTTGTAAAAAAAGCAGAACCTTTCATTAAGCAGGTCCAGGTGCCTGAGATGAAAACAAAGATCACCTCTACTTCATATGGGGTGCACACAAGTAATATATAGTGGTACCTCGACTTCCGAATGTCTCCACTTACGAACATTTCGAGTTACGAACGGCTCCGGTCGCAAAATGTTGGTTCGACTTGCGAACGGAGCCTCGACTTCCAAATGAAAAAAAACCTTTCCTGTCCTTTTTTGACTTAAGTTCATCTTAGGTCAAAAGAAGAAAAAAAATTTAAATTTCTCCCCCTAGTGATAGAGTATGGATTAACCGGCTTTGCATTAGTTCCTATGGGAACTAATGCCTCTACTTGTGAACAGCTCCTTGACATAAGAACGAAAAACAGCCGGAACGGATTAAATGATTTTCAATGCATTCCTATGGGAAATTTTGCCTCGACTTACGAACTTCTCGACATATGGACGCCGTTCCAATACAGATTAAGTTCATAAGTCAAGGTACCACTGTAATTATGGATAAGGCTAAATCACTTTTCCTTCCACTTCTGTGTACCTCATCTCTGGAGCAGTTCCAACACTTGTGCACAGATTTTATTTTTAATTGATCTTGTTCTCACGCTACCACTGTACCAAACCTACAAAGGACCAATCATGACATCTGATTGTCCATATTTCCTCTGGAAGTAACACAAAATACACTTCAGAATCAGAAAATCTGACTGTGGCTGCAATCCTACACAAGACCCTTCTCCAACCTGATGCTCTTCGAATTTGTTGAGTAACTCCAACCAGCATAACGAATGGGAAGCACCAAGGTGAGTATGCATATGCATATTTACATGGGAGTTAGTCTCACTGACCTCAGTGCTCTTAATTTTTCATACACAAAGACATAAGATCAGTCTGCACCTTTATTTCTTTCTCTGTGCACCAATTGATAATACCGAAGAGCCCATATGACAAAATGATGAACCTGATCAACAGATCATGCTAGGAAGAATGCCTGGTATCACATATTCCTGAATTGCAGAAGCACCCAAGAGATATAGAGGCCAACAACTGTTACATGTTCATCGTTTTTCAGACAAACTATGTAGAAGAGGCAGGAAAAATCACAAGTGAACAGTAAGTAGGTCTTATTTTACCACCGTAATTCCAGAAAGACCACAAGTTCCTTCTTATCTGGTTTGCACACTTCCCAGTAAGGTTTCTTGCAGCAGAACCTTGGTAAGAAGAGCAATTGATTGGGAAGGGCTGGAGTTTCAGCATAGCTACAGCCCTTCTCAAAGAGCCTGCAAGGAGTTAAAGAAAAAGGTGGATGGAGTTCAGGCATTGGAGAGGCAAAAGCAGGTCAAACTAGGTTGAGAGCTTTTCTGCAACAACCTTTGTCAGCAACTAATCTTCTTGGACGTGGTGGTGCTGTGGGTTAAACCACTGAAGCCTCTGTGCTGCAAGGTCAGAAGACCTGCAGTCATATGATCGAATCCCTGTCGCTTGTCCCAGCTCCTGCCAACCTAGTGGTTCGAAAGCATGTAAAATGCAAAAATGCAAGTAGATAAATAGGTACCCCCTTGGTGGGAAGGTAAACGGCATTCCGTGTCTAGTCACGCTGGCCACGTAGGACTGTCTGTGGACAAATGCTAGCTCTATGGGTTGGAAACAGATATGAGCACCGCTGCCTAGAGTCGGACACAACTGGACAAATTGTCAAGGGGAACCTTTATCTTTACCTAATCTTCTTGGACAGAGTGCTCTGAGAACACAAGGAGGGAGCAGAACTTGGAAAAGGTCCATTTTTTGACCGTGACTTCCAAAATCGGAGCATCTATGGTAGGTGCCAGGCGATTCTGTGCATCGTAGTTTAGAAAAGTAGCTTTTTCAAGCTCTGGGAAGAACAGCTGATAAGAGAAGCAGAACTCCTCTAAAGTGCTCTACTGCTAAATTCTGCTAGCTCAGTAAAACCATCTTCCCCTTCTACAGCTAGGCAGCAAAGCTACAGAGCTAACTTTGGCCAAGAACCTCCGCTAACCCTTAGCAGGGAAAAATGCCCTTTAGATTGGGTGTAGTACAAATACTACAAATTCACCTCCCATCTCTAGCTTACATGTAACAAAATACGGCAGTGGCTAAACACAGCAAATACTGTACATCCAAATTCTGGAGACTAGATACTTTATACAAAGTCACTACAGTTGGCATGCACAGATGTGCACACTAGTAGGAAAATTTCACAGACAAAGGATATGTGAACATTAGGGACAGGACTTTTGAAATTCTAGGACTTCCAGTCTCACAAGTACCAAGAACCCCTGCAAGGTAGACTTCTTGGACTGAGAGAAGAAAAATCAGAATACTGTACAAAAGAGATACCTTTCTACTGCCATTGCTTGTTTCATTGTTGCATCAGCTGGGAAGAAGAGAACACCTCCTCTGTCTCATTGCTTCCTGGGAATCACCCTCATGCACCATAGAAATGGTAGGTAATTCAGTCAGAGGCTTTCCCTAGAGTTTAATGGGTCGCAAGAGGACTCTCTCCATGGTGCACTGGAGCAATTCTCGGGAAACAGTGAGATGGGTGATTGCCCTTCTTCCCAACTGATGCATGTAGAATGAAGCATAGAATGGCAGTGGAAAGACATCTCTTTAGCTTCTAGTTTCTTCTCTCTCAATCCCAGAAGTCTATCTAAGGGATTCTAGACGACTTCTGGGAGTAGAAGTCCTAGAATTCCAAAAATCTCACTCCAATGAACATCCATGTAAACAGCAGCGGCTCACGGGCAAATCTATGTATGTCTCATGACGAACTGCCCCAAGGTCTAAGGTGCTGAGACTAATGCTAAAGCCTTCTGATTTTGTTGCAAGGAATGTCACAGAAAGCAGTTACCCTTATAGTAGAAACAAAGTTGGTTCTATGGTTGAAAGTATAGTACTGTACAGTAGTGCCTTGACTTGAAATTCTAGGACTTCCAGTCTCCCAAGTACCAAGAACCCCTGCAAGGCTGGGAAGGATCTGGGAGAGCAAGGGTCAAAACCACCACCTCCCTTTGTCCTCCTGGACCCTTCCCAGCCTTCCTCCACCACTGTGCGGTCTCACCGGGGCCAAAATCGCCACCCTCCATAGCCCTCCGGGAGCCTACCTGGCCTTCCTCCGCCACCTTTTCCTAAGTGTTGGGGTAAAAAATCTACCAAGAAGCAGCCCCTTTCTAACCTACAGTTAGATATTTGAATTGCCCGCCTTTCCCCCCTGCCTTTTTCTGTTCGTAGGTCAAAACTCCAGCTGCAAGTGAAAGCAAAATTTTGCGGCCAGAGCTGTCTGTAAGTGAAATTGTTCGTAGGTCAGGGCGTTCATAAGTCAAGGCACCACTGTATAACAAGGTATCAATAGGTTGCTGTGCATCACTGAATAGCAAAATGTATAGATAGAATGTAGGAGAGAGGAGATCCGTCATTTTCTGCTTTAATCAAGATCTAGCCCACAAGTAATGAATTTTGGTCTTCCAGATGTTTTAGACTACAATTCCTGCTATCCATTTTCACCGGCTGTGGCTTCTTGAAGCTGAAGTCTAAAACATCTGAAGTGCCAAATGTTCTTTTCCCCCTTAATTAGCCACTGATAAAAGGAAATGCTGTTTTACTACCACAGGTAGGCTCACATGTGCTCGGGCCATGCAAGAATGGAGGGAATCACAGAAAGTGATAATGAGGCAGAATTCAGCTTCTGGGGAGTCTACACCTTTAAAACAACATGTCTAGTTCTTCGGGGTGAACAGAGACATAGCACCTGTCAAATTCCAGAAGGGTTATATGAATAAGATTTTCCATAGCCAGGAGGTGGGAGCTTAAGCTCCAGTCAAACAATCTGCCTCTCCCTATAACTAGCTCGAGCACAAGTTAGTTAAAATGCAGACTAAATTTTGCAATACACACTAAATACATACTCCACTCAGGTTGCATCAATCTTTTCTCAGTCAAGTCATGTTTAGCAGGAGCTCAACAAACAAAATCCCGATCTCAAGATCTTC